AGCAACTCATTTTGCTCTTTTCAGCTGGCAAAGAGCTATTCAGGAATTGCTCACCTTTGGCTCACTCATAGAAGACAACCTATAGCAAACCCTCTGTATTACATAGTTGTTTAAAAGGAACCTTTATAAACTGTATATTGTGAGGGTGATTATATGCAGTCTTTCTTCTTCACTGATCCTAAAATTTCCTAAAGAGCTATCTTATTTATTCAGTAATGTGTGAACTTTCTGATTGATGATATTGAATATATAGGTATTGTAACCTGTGAGTGTGCTAAATCCACTGTGGTCTGCAAATTCCATGTTGGCACACAATCAGTGAGTTCAAAATACTTTATTAAAGCTAACTTTCCTTCCCGACCAAAGAGTTCTGCTAAGTATTTTTCTTGTTAACTCTTGATAGGCCAGGTTACTGCATGGGGTCTCTACACAATCTTAGGGCAAGGAGTCTCTTCATTGATCCTTTACTGTGGGTCCCGGTTATTGGTTTTAAACCTTTCCTCCTTGAACAGGTGCTGTTCTCCAGAGTTGGGTACATCATGCTTTTTCTCAGGGTTGGAAGGCCCAAACAGTTGATGTAAACCCTATGCTAGTTCTACACTCCTTCCTACAAAGAGGGAGATAAAGTATTCCTTTGTGGCTGTGTCCAGTGGCTGATGATTCCCCAGAGTTTCTGGTGTGAGGCAAGGAAAGATGTGGTAGAGCAAAGCTATGCCACCTGTGAACTTGCTTGGGAAGTTACTGGATCTACTAATGCTGATTTATTTAAAATATTTATATTTTGCCTTTCTCCTCAATTGGACACAAGATGGCTTACAATACTAGAACAAACAGTATTACACGCACACACACAAACACACACCCAAAACACACACAAAACACACACTACTGAGGTAAAAGCTCTTTGCCTGCTTGTGGAAGGACAGCAAAGAGGAGACCAGACCAGCCTTCCGTGCAAGAGAATTCCACGGTTTAGAAAGAGTGACAGAGCTGTGGCCCCCTCTTGTGTCCTCACCAACATACCTGTGAGGGTGTTGGGATGAAGAGGAAGGTCTCTCCTGGTGATCTTGAAACATGGCTTATAATAGAATATGTATTATTTCAGGTAGCTTGGCCTGAACTCTTCTGGCAGATGACTGCATGCCCGGCTCGTGGGCACTGGTGGCCATAGCAGCTGCTTGAAGTAAAGTTCCCTTGTTGGCTTCTGGTAAGGCTGGTGTAAAGGGAGCTGCAGTAAAGATGCTGGCCATGCCTGTGAATATGGAAAGCCAGCAAGTTGCCCCTTCCTGGCTTTTCCACTTTCCTTCTAGTTCAGTCATCTTCTATTACACCGTGCTGCAGTTACAGCCTCCTAGCTGCTCTCAATTACCTGCCTCTGCCAGCAGTTGAGTTGCATCTTATCTTCTCCTTCTTGGCAGGTGCTATCACCCACCATAGTTTTGAGCTGTGGTGGCATTCCCTGTTTGTCCTTGTGGCGTTTCCCCCGTGGCCCCTGCTTGTTTCACCAAACCTCATGAAGGTATCTCAACAGGCCTCTTGACACGCTGCCACCAGTTGATCTCTTTATCAGATTATATTTCTTTATGAAAGACTAAGGTCCATCCAGTACTGACTTTTTAACAGAAACAGGTTTATTGATTAAACGTGGTTTCAGGAATAATTCTTAAGCACATTCTTAAAGTTTCACAAAGCTTCAATTTTTTTTAGTCTCTTCTATATTAATTAACACAGGTCACACTCTGACTAATCACTGCCTAATTACTCCTTAAACACTCTTTGCCTCAAAACCCCAACCTATCCTCTTCTCTAGCTCTCCCTGACTCAGACTCTCTCTGACTCTGACTGAACTTCTCTCCCAGGCTCCGCCTCTTCGGCAGCCCCCTTGGCTCCACCTTACAACCATATTAACATACAACTTATGAATAATGCATAACTTATAATACATAACTTAGGGTGGACACCACAGTCCTCTTCTCAGATAGAAGCTGCTTAGTCTTCTCAGCTCACGAACGACAGTGGTGGCTCGCTTAACGAGCGCACCGTATAACGATGAAATCGCATAGCGATCTCTTTTTTGAGATCGCTAATGCGATCGCTTACCGATGGCCTCTATGGAGAAAACTCGCATTGCGAAGATCGGTAAGCGTTTCGCTTACCGATCTTTGCATTGCGATGCGGGGAAATCAGCTGTTCGGCGGGTCCAAAATGGCCGCCGGATGACCCAAAATGGCCGCCGCAACCATTTTCGCTCCCTGCCCTCGCTTACCGAGGCCGCGAAAATGGTGGCGCTATGAGGAAACTTCGCTTAATGGTGAGTATAGAAGCCATTGGAACGCATTAAACTAAGTTTAATGCATTCCAATGGCATTTTGCATCCCCACCACAGTCCTCTTCTCAGATAGAAGCTGCTTAGTCTTCTCAGCTTACGAACTAATTGTTTCCAAAGAGCTGGGGCCCATTTTCCCTCCCTGGGCCTTGGGGTATGGAAGGGTCACCCTCTTTAATCCATTTCAAAAAACGTTTTCTGCTTCCAGTTTGCAAATTGCAGCCCACAGGGGCCTGTGGGGGCTGCATCTTGTTCTTCAACGTAATTTCAGATGTCCACCACTGACCTATTATAGACCTCAAAGGGACTTTAAAAAAATAAAACATGAAATGACTGACTGGTCACTTCCGGTTTCAAGAAGGTGGTCTTTAAAAGAAGGGATTATATTTAAAATGCAGATTAGATTCCCCCTCTTCCCCCTCTAATTAGGCCTCTAGCAGATGTGTTGGTGTTTAAAGACGAGAATATTTTAGGGATTGAGGGTAGGTGGTACCTTGAGGACAGTTCCTTTCAACAGAATTTGTTAAAGATAATTTGTTAATATTTGATAAAGCAGTGCTTTTTGAAAGATATATAGCTGTCTGTGTACTTCAGTGATTGGGTTACTTGGATGAGAGTTTGATTTTCTACTGTGGCCCTGAGGGAAAATGCCAGCGTCTGTAGCCTTAGGGAAGCTGCATAGGATCAGAGTACCTCCCAGAAGGTAGGCCATTGTTGAGTACTCTGTATGTAGAAAACCCTGGACAGGGTCAGAATAAGTGGGAATCAACTTGACAGTACATTGTTGTTGCTGCTGCTACTGCTGCTGTTATAAAAACACTGACTGGTATTATATAAAAGATACAGGTTTTAACCGAAAACCTAAATAGCTGTTAATTATTGGTGTGCTATGTATGCTGTTCCTAATGTCATGTATTGTTGTTATCAAGATATGTAAACTTTTTATGTGCTATGTGTGCTATTCCTAATGTTGCCATTTATTGTTGTTGTTATCAAGATATGTAAACTTTTTAAAAAGATGTTATATCTGTGTGACATTTTCTGTTCTCTTTTGATCAAAGATATAGTGGTACCTCGACTTACGGCCATAACCCATTCCAGAAGATGGACGTAACTCAAAATGGCCATAAGTCGAAGCACCATTTCCCATTGAAATGCATTAGAACGCGATTAATCCGTTTCCCCCCCCCACAAAAAGCAAGCCCCATCGGAAGGAGCCGGAGCTTTAAAAAAAACCAAAAAAGCACATAGTAAGACCCATCGGAAGGCACTGGGGCTTAAAAAATACCAAAAGTAAACAACACAGCATGCCCCATAGGAAGGCAATGGGGCTTAAAAAATAAAAAATAAAATAAAGCACACAGCTAGACCCATCGGAAGGTGCTGGGGCTTTAAAAAATAACAAAAAATAAAGTACACAGCAAGCCCCATCGGAAGGCACTGGGGCTTAAAAACCAAAAATAAACAACACAGCAAGCCCCATTTGAAGGCACTGAAGCTGAAAAAATAAACACAACAAAACACCAAAAAAAAAAAAACCACACCACAGCACAGAAACATAAACCCCCTAGCCCAAACCCATCCTGCAAAACCCTGTAAATGTACTTACTCAGAACCAGAAAGCAGCACCAGGCAGTCTGAAGCCTCCTCCGACGCACACACACTAACCGTTGGGGCGAAAGAGCTACAAAGAAGCTCTTTGATGACCAACGTTTAGCCCTCTAATTTGAATTCCCCGCCTTTTTCCCCTGCCTCTTTTAATCGCAACTCAAAGCTTCAGCTGCAAGTTGAAGTAAATTTTGCAGCCAGAGCTGGTCGCAACTCAAAATGGTCATATGTTGGGACTGTCGTAAGTTGAGGCACCACTGTAACTTGTTTGTGCTCTGCTTCTTATAGGAATACTTGATGTCTGGTGCCGATATCATTGAGACAAACACTTTCAGCAGCACAAGAATAGCACAAGCTGACTATGGCCTTGAACATCTGGTAAGAATTTTGTTTGTGTTATCTCGCAGTGAAGAGCAGTTTGGTTCTGAGCTTCACTAATGTTTATAACAACATTTGTTCACTTCTAATGCTTGTTAGAGGAAAAAAAAATGGAAATGATCATTTTGATTCCACCTAATAGTTGTTAACCTTTTTGGCTTGAAGTGCTATGGGGCGGTATATAAGCAGCACGCTTTGCTTTGTTTTAAAAAAAAAACAAAAAACAAACAAAAAACCCCAAGACACATCACAACACAGAAACATAACTCCCCCAGCCCAAAACCACGCTGCAAAACCCATCCAGAACAGTTTTTAAAAACCAGAAAGCAGCACCTTACCTTACCAGGCAGTCCGAAGCTTCCTCCGATCCCACACTCTCTAACTGCTGGGGTGAAAGAGCTACAAAGAAGCAGCTTTTCGCCACCAACAGTTAGCAATTTGAATTTCCTGCCTTTCCCCCCTGCCTTTATGTGTTCATAACTGGAAGCTTCGGCCGCAAGTTGAAGCAAAATTTTGTAGCCGGAGCTGGTTGTAACTCGAAATGGTCATATGTCGGTATGTTCGTAAGTACCACACTGTACCACATTTGAGTGGGGTTGGTGATCTGGTTTGTCATACTTTGAGTGGCCCCATCACCTCTGAGCTCCCAATCCCCCATTTTTTCATTTTTCTTAAACTAATTTTGCAGAATTAAATGCAAATCATTCTTTTTTTTAATTATAGCTCCACCCTTTGTAGATAAACGAAATCAGGAGCTAGGTTCCTTTGGGCTGGAAGACTACAGAAAAATAATCCTTGGTCTTGCTGAGATCACCTACTCATACTTTAAACCACAGTTAAAGTTAACCACAATTCTGAGTGTAGACATAACAGTACAGTGGGGTCTTCACTTGAGAACTTAATCCGTATTGGAAGGCGGTTCTCAAGTCAAAAAGTTCTCAAGTCAAATCTGCATTTCCCATAGGAATGCATTGAAAACCATTTAATCCGTATCTGCTCTTTTCCGCCCATAGAAACTAATGGGAAGCTGCTATTCCGCCTTTGACCACTGGAGGGGGATATTTTGTTTCTTTTTTTCTTAGGTCAAGAAAGGTTGAGGGAAGGCAGGGAAAAGACAGTCCAGGCAGGACAGTACCAGGCAGTCTGAAGACTGTCTCCCAGTCCACTCTCTAAACGCTGGGAGGAGTGAGGAAGCAGACAGGCACCCTTTTCACTGGCCAACAGTTAACTGAAAGTTCAAATTTTGCACTTTCCCTGCCTCCCACGTGGGTTTTTTTCAGTTTGTAACTCAAATCTAAGTATGTAAGTCAAGTCACCTACTCATACTTTAAACAGCAGTTAAAGTTAACCACAATTCTGAGCGTAGACATAACAGTAAACCATGACAGACTGGAAACAAAGAAAAAATTTCAGTCTCTTCCTTATAGTGGCTCCAGAAGAGGAAACAGGGACAAAAATGGTTTGTTTCTAAATTTCATGATACGATTTTTATGTTAACTACCTTGCACTCTAAGGAAATTCAGGGTGTTCATCAAGACCCCACTGTAAACCATGACAGACTGGAAACACAAAGAAAAGTTTTCAGTCTCTTCCTTATAGTGGCTCCAGAAGAGGAAATAGGGACAAAAATGGTTTGTTTCTAAATTTCATGATACGATTTTTATGTTAACTACCTTGCACTCTAAGGAAATTCAGGGTGTTCATCATCAGAAATACCAGTGTTCTGATAGTATGTATGCTTTTGTTTTTTTAAAAAAGGAGAGTGCCATGCTAAAATAGTTTATACAATCTAGACTATATAGTATTTGAACCTCAGAGCATTGTTATCTACCTTTCTGTGATGGGGTTGTAAGGCCTGGAGGACCTTCAGGTTAGTAACAGGAGCCACATGTTCAGAATCTCTTGCTCCTGGACTGCATTACTGTATTCAGATACATTTGTGCCCCTCAAGCATTATCAAGTCAGTGTGGTTAGCTTACTGGGATGAATGTGTCTGTACCTACAAAAACTTACTTTTCCTTGTCCTTCAGAAACATGAATGACGCGTGGCATGTGGTGAGGTCTAGTTCTGCTTATCCTGGTTCTTCTGTATGAGAAGACAGACTGCTGTTAGGCAGATAGAACCAATCCAGAAAATAGCATGTTACATTTCTTTGAAACACAGAGGTGCACATTTGTGCCCTTATAAAGGGCAGCAGTTTCCTAGAAAAATGAACAGCCACACAAGTACTCCTATTAATAGATAGCATAGTGTTGTTTTGATTGAAGAGGTGGAGATTTGGCTTTCATACATCTAGAAGTTTCCAGACCAGAGTATAAAATGCCGAAACACACTTGTTTCCATAGAAGTAGGGGTTGTTCATGAGACCTGTTATTATCCTAATGTTAACGCTTGTTAGTTGACATTTCCGGACAAAATAGACTTGAAAGCCAAGCTGAGGAGTCCCAAAATGAAGGTGGTCTCTAGAAATGGATCCCAAGTGGGAATCCAGTGACCTTTATTCTTGTAACTTATAAAGTGGCTGTCAGGTATGTTGGAGACTTAATATTTACAGTGTAGTTTAAAATGGAAGATGCTAAACTTTGAATATAACAGTGTCCTTGATGTTGTCCCTGGCTACCCACTCCTTTATCACACAGGCTTATAGGTTAAATAAAATATCAGCGCAAGTGGCCCGGAAAGCAGCTGATGATGTCACTGCTGAAACGGGTAAGTAAACTTTGTTTGTTATAAGATATTGGCGGCAATCCTGTTGTGCAAGTGTGCGTGCATAAAAGCTAATGATGTCATCAGCTATGGACTTTGATCTTTAATTTTAACTTTTGTATCCTGCCTCAAGTTCTGAAGCTATTTAGGGACTCCCATTGACCTTGGGAACCCTTAGGATCAGGGTGGTGGTGGTTTAATATCTGAAAATTGCTGCAGCCAGGCCTGGGGCAGCAATTATCAGATATTAAAGGTTCTCCAAGACTCCCAGAGTCTTCTGCAGGTCAACAGGGCCCCCTAAGGAACCATAGAAACTAGGGATAGGAAAGTTTAAAGACTGAAGATTTTGTTAACCTACTCAGAGTTGTGCAACAGTTTCCTGGCAATGGTTTTTGCTAGGGGAACAAATTGCTTAGTGTCACTGCTGGAACTTGGTTTCTTACTTATACTGTACCAAGTTAGCTAAGATTTAAAAGAATTGGCAGGGATCACTTGCAGATTCCAGTGTTTGTCAATATAGCATCAAATGCTGATGGGAAAAAATTAATTTCCAGCTTTAAGAGAAACCTACAGTATGTTTTCAAGTAGGAGTTACAGACTTTCAATAGTTTTGAAGAGAAGGTACAGTTGTCAAAATTGTAAGCTGCAAAATGTAGATATGCATACTCTTTTTTTTACATTACAATTTATAGTATAATAGCATTTTTTAAAAAACAGTCATATCTGCACCTGTTATGCATTTCTGTCCTAAAATGCTTAAAATTCCAAATGAATTACAGATGAAATTAAGTGTCCATACCATTGTAGCCCTTGAGACTTGTCAAATCACAAGGCTACAGTGACACTAGAAGCAACAACATCTGGAAGGATCCAACAGAACTGAGACCTCTTCTTTCATCTTCGTGCTTGACTGTTTATTCTTTTGTTTTGTTAGTGTACAAGCCCTCCCATCTCTAGACAACAGCTGTTGCTTCCTTTTTCAATACATAATGGAATTGATCAGCTGATGGTGCTTTGTTAGAGCTTTCACCTGAAGATTCAACTTCCTTTTTATTATTCTGTCTCTAGCAGTTCTCGTTCTTTTCATTGCCCCCTAAACCTTGTGTAATCCCTAATTCTCTAATCCCCTGTGAAGTTTATTTAGATTCCCTTCTCTGGCTAACCTCTTGCTTCTATTCCCTGCTCCCCCCTTTTTTTCTTTTAAGTCTTATTCTCTATTAATACTTTCTTCCGGCTCTTTTTTCCTAGACATTTCTGTGCTCTTGCTTCCGGATTTTTGCAGGCTCCATTTCCTATTTGTCTGTTGTATTCCATGTGATGCTTTAATCCTTCTCAGACTTACAAATTACTTGAACTGCACACTTCTTAACCCTGCAGCAACAGGACATTCTAGGTCATCATACTTGCCAAGTCAGTGTTAGAGAATTCCTCCTCCTTAGCACTGTGCTCACTATAAAAATTCTGTATTTTAAAGAATCCTTGTGGTGAGTTATGCATGTGTAAGTCGAATTATGTAACCCACTGTAGGGAATTGCTGCCAACTAATGTGGTGCTCACCATGTCACTAGGTATGTACTACACATAGTGTTATTAGCACCACATCAGTTAGCAATTCACCATGAGTTATGCAGTTTAATTTAATTTATGCATGCATGAATAACCAACAAAATTCTGCCCAGTGTCTACTTTTCTTTCTTTGTGGCTATGGACCAGAATCTCTTATTAATATAGAGAGATGTAACAATGCTAAATCACTTCTGAGTATTCTATATGTAGAAGACCCTGGAAGGAGTTGGCATAAGTTGAAATCAGCTTGACGGCACATTGCTACTGCTGCTGCTGCTGTTTTTCTTCTTAACAGAGTTGCAGACTAAGGTATTAACTTTGAAGATGATAGTTCTTCCCATGGAATCTTGTGAAGATCCCTCTTAGTGATTGAATCCCTCACTATCAGAATGACAGGCAGCTGTTGCTTTTGTTGCAACATTTGTCCTCAGGTTCAGCATTCTTACCTTTCTCTGAAGTGATAAAACATCTAGTATTGTCTTTCTTTTTGATCTGTAATCCAAAGCCTGTCACATAAATACTGTGTCCTTTTTTTCTTAAGGACTTAAAAGATATGTTGCTGGAGCAATGGGCCCCACAAACAAGACCCTCTCTGTTTCCCCTTCAGTGGAAAAACCAGATTACAGGAATGTTAGTAAGTACTTGAATATTGAGTAAACGTTATTCTTGCCCCTCTATGTACTAGGACCAGTTCTGCAACATAAACTCCAGCAATGTGTGATAGATAAGACCAGTTTCTTATGTATATGTTGTAGCCAATAAATACATTATTAATTCCAGATTAAATGCTTTTATGATATTTCCTGTGGAGACAAGCAAAATTATATAGGTATCTAGTACAATGTTTTCCAAACCTGATATTTTTGGGGTTCCAAGAAACAGAGCCTAATAATATTTGGGGAGCCAAGACTTGGAAGCACTGATATTGCATCTGGTCATATCCTGTGAAATGTTGTATCAGAATTAAAGAACCACATATCCACAGGTTACTGAGCAGATGAATACTACATTTTTGGGGAAGCATTGATATTGCATCTGATCATATCCTGTGAAATGTATCAGAATTAAAGAACCACATATTCACAAGTTACTGAGCAGATGAATACTACATTTTTGGTTGGAATCAGAATGAATTCTTCACTGTCATTTTCATTACAAAGGAGAGAATCTGTTCTTGTGTTTATAGCTTTTGATGAACTGGTGGAAGCCTACACAGAACAAGCCAAAGGACTTCTAGATGGTGGGGCAGATATCATATTAGTTGAAACCATTTTTGATACAGCCAATGCCAAGGTAAGAAAGCCAAGCAAAATCTTCAAAAGTGTATTAAGCCAGTTGATCGTGACATTTACTGTCCTCCTAAAAGAACCTGCATGAACAAGAATGTTACAGGGCACGTAATAAGGAGACAAGAATTCAAAATGAACCATTTGCTTTTTATTTAAGTTTATAGTGTGACCTTTCTTTTCTACAAGAACTGAGTGCATGTGTGTGTGTGTGTGTGTGCGCGCGTGTGTGTGTGAGAGAGAGAGAGCGCGAGCATGTGTGTTGTCCTGGTTGACTCCCAATATAAGCAGGTAAAAGTGACAAGACTGGGGTCTAAAGTTCTGATGGCAGCATTTCCCAAGAGCAATACTAGGCTGAAAAGCAGGCAGAAACGGGCCAGAAATAAAATCGTTATAAGATCTGGATATGCCTCTGGGCCTCAGGGGGACACTTCTAGCCCCCTAGAGCAAAAAGAGCAGCTCCTGGAGGCCTCCAGGAGCAGAACCCCTCCTTGTTTTTGTGGTGGCTAGCTGGAGCCTTGGAAGAAATAAAGAATTGCTCCCGGGAGCTTCTCACAGCCTTGGGATCTTGGGAGAGGGAATTGGTCTCTCCCCCCTGAAATATTGCTGTAACTGGTGACCTCATCGGCTTTACGAAGAGTAGCTGCGTGAATAGGATTTCAGCCAATATAGCTTGTGGGGGCGATATTCGTTGTAGCATAACTTGCTCAATACCATTACAGAACCACTTGCAGACTATACTGTAGTTTAATGCCAAAATATAAATAAAGTGAGAGCCTAATTCTTTCCACCATTTTTACTACACAGGCAGCTCTTTTTGCACTCCAAAAATTGTTTGAAGAAGAGTATGAACCCAGACCATTGTTTGTAAGTATAAGAGATAATTTTTTTAAAGGGTTTGTAATGTCTTAGGTTTTTTTTTAAGAGTGAGTGCTCACCTCTGAAGATTAAAATATGCCTTACTGATAGCCTGTCACTGGAAGAGACAATTCCTTCACTGCTAATAATGTGTGACTGTTAAATCAACAGCTTTTCTTATTCCACAAATTTTGCAAATTAGCCTGCTTTGTCTTGTGATGGGTCTTCAAGAACTTAATGTGAGCTTGTTTGGAAGTCTTATTTATCAGATACCAAAGTCTGCCAAAGTCAGAATTTTGTCTATAATGATAGGTTACCTATAATGTGTAGTTTGGCCGTTAGTAACTCCATCATGAGCTGTTGGAAATGTAAGAAAGAAAAGGAGACTCATTTACAAATGTGGTGGACATGTGAAATGAGGCAGAAGGAATGGACAGTGATTTTCAAAGAGATAAAGGAAATTATGGGTATTAAAACACAAAGGTGTCCAACAGTAGCTCTGTTAAATATAATTGGAAATATTCAGTTAGAACCCAGGGAGAAAAAGTAATTATTATGTGAACAGTAGCAGGATTCATATTTGCAAAGAACTGGAAAAATAAAGATCAGTTTAGTATTGAAGATTGTTACAAATAAATGTAGAATATGGCTATTAATGATCAATTGATTTGTGAACTGAAATTTAGAAAGGGAATGCTGAGAACAAATTGTTTTTAGAAAATATGGAATGCTTTCTTAACACATACAGTATGTTTGTTAAAAAATATTATACCCCAACACAAGAATCATTATATTTCTGGAAAGAGACGGGATATGTAGTATAAAATACAAAACAATACAATGTAATAAATACCGTATTTTTCCATGTATAAAATGGCACTTTTTCCTAAAATAATTAGAGGAAAAAATTGAAGGTGGTTTTATACATAGAAAGCAGCAGCAGGAGACGAAGGCGGAGGAGCAGCCGTGTTCAGCCACCTCTTGCAGCTGCCCATTGACTGCTGCCTCCGCTGTCTGATCACCCCATCCAGCACCACTGCCGGGGCTCACCTCCAGCTCACGTTGCCGCCTTGTCCCCTACCCGAAGGGAGCCCATGAGTGGTGCTGGAAGAGGCGATCGGGCGGTGGAGGCAGCAGGAGGAGGAGAAGGTGGAGACTGAGGCAAAGGAGCCTGGGACAAGGCGGCGACATGAGCTGGAGGTGAGCCCCAGCAGTAACGCTGGAGGAGGCATTTGGGTGGTGGAGGTAGCAGCAGCAGGAGATGGAGGAATGCTGGAGGAGGCATTTGGGTGGTGGAGGCAGCAGCAGCAGGAGATGGAGGCGAAGGAGCAGCCGCGCTGGGCTGCCCCTCACAGCTGCCCATTGACTGTTCCTCCGCCTCTGGCAAGGGTCAAAATTAGAGGGTTGTCTTATACATTGGGGGTTTTTTATACACAGAAAAATACGGTAAATAAAAGTCCTGAGGGGGAGCACAGTATATTGTGAGATACGTTTGTATTTTAGTTTATGTTTTTGTTAAGTTTTGTTTATTTTGGAAAATAATTTTTAAAAAATCAAAAAAGTAACTCCATCAGGAGCAGTTCATGGAAACTGAAGAGAAGGACTGTGTGAGCAAGTTAAGAGACAAGAGTTTGGGCAGTTCATGTTGCAAACTGCATAATCTTGTCTGTTAACTTGCTTACACCGTCCTTCTCTTCAGCTTCCAAGCCCATGTCTGATAGGGATATGAATTCTGATGGCTAAAGGAACGTGACTGAGAATATTGCCTCTTCTTTTACATCTCATTGCATTTTGCAGGTAAACTCAAGGTGTCCTGTTAATTACATTGCTAGGGCATAGCTTGGGAAAATGATTGAGGGGGGCATAACTCCCAGAATTCTTCTAGTTTGCTCCATTCTGGGAATTAAAAAAAGTAATGCTTCCAAACTTTGTGCCAACATGCCAAAGGACAACAATGTGTGACTCTGTAGAGAGCGTTGCTCCACAATTCCCTTCCCCTGGAAACTTGTCAGTGACCAGAATCTGAGCAGTTTTTCCAAATGAATAGAAGGCTTTATTTCTGCTAACATGGAAGGTGTCAATGCTAAAGAGAATAAGTTGTGATTCCACAAACTATTATAGATTTCAGTGTTTCAATTTGGCTGTTCTGCATGTTTAAAATGAACTAGCTCCTGCGTAGAATCCCTTCAGGCAAAGAATATAAATTATATTCCTTTGCACAGTGTGCAATTGGGCCTTCTATATTTGTAGAATCCCTTCAGAGGATATATAAATTGTAAATTTATATACATTGTATTACTATATGCACAGTGTGCAATTGGGCCTTCTATATTGACAGAATTGGTTCCCACTGGATTCTTAGATCTTAGAACTGCAGAGCTGGAAGGGACCCTCTGGATCATCGCATTCTGCCCCTCTCAAGGAGGCACAGTGGGGAATAGAACCCCCCACCAAATCCCCAAACAACTGAGCTATTCAGCTATCTGTGACATCCTTCTCCTTCCTTGCTAGCTGCCTTGCTGAGTCTGCTCTTTCAAGTGTGTGGTAATCCTGCTTGGCCATTCAGTGGCCCCTGAAGACTTCCTCTGGCTCATTACCAGCCATTCCATATGACCTCCATGTATGAGCCTTTCCTTCCTGTTGGGAGCAGCCTGCCTGCTTGCCTGCCTTGGGTGAAAGTTGGCAATAGGAAGCTGTTGGTACAATGCCAATGAAGTCTTGCTGTTACAGAATGGACCCTCTGGAGTGCCACTCATTCGAAAGAGCATAGTAGAGACAGCTGGCTGAGGAGGAGAGAGTGATCATAAAACCCTGTGAGAAAGGCCTCTGCACTCTGGGACTTGAATACAGAAAACAGCTATCAGCGTTGCGTTATTTTTTTACATACAGATATGTTTTTATATTGGATGCTTGTCTTTTGTTGAGGGTCAGACTCAGATAAGACAACCTCATGATGCAGTACTGTATATGCAGTTATTTGATGTGGAGGTAATATGTATTTAACTTAATGTATTTAATGTATTTAAATTAATGTTAACCTTTGCTACGATGTGATGCCCAAATCATCCTGCAATCCTGTCTGTTCTTCATGAGAGCTTCTTTTGGAATTGCAGCTTAGGAAAGGCATCAGCCTAGCTCAGCCGAAAGAAAACAAAACCAAAATCTTACTCTTGTCCATGTACTGTATCGCATTATATGACATCTTACATTGTAACATGAAGGAATAGGATTGGTGGACTAGAACTTTATACACAGTTAAAAGGCTAATACCTGCTTACCCTGTTTGTGTAATACACTGTTGTTTCCATGGAGATCTTTAAGAATTATGGAGATTCTTCTGTATTGAGAAGATTACATCAGTCAAGCTCCAATTATATGCAGTGTTGGAAGTACAGATGAAAGAAGCCTTGAGGCTCTGTATTATTTTTGGGAGCAGAGTGGCAAAATGGAAATTTCATATGTCAGATTATAGGCTTAATATTGAGATGAGGAGAAGGAAGAAATACAGGATTTGAAGCTGCTTTATTATGGACCAGAGTTTTGGTTCATGTTGACCCAGTATTGCGAGCACTGACACTCTGTTTCTTAGATTTTCAAAGAACCTGGTCACATGTGATCTCTTCCTTTCACCTGACTTTGTTTTTAGAGAGAGAAAATGAGTCTTTCACTATTTCTGATCGCTAAAGCATGATTTGCAGAGAACTTCTATCACATTGAATGCCTCTTCTTAATTTTTAATTAGACAGTGTTCATTTCAGTTTGGCTTTTACTGCTTGTAGCTTTTGTGACACATAGTTTTTGTCTTCCTCTTTGTGGTTTTTAGGTTTCAGGAACAATTGTCGATAAAAGCGGCCGTACTCTTTCTGGCCAGACTGGAGAAGCATTTGTCATCAGCATATCCCACAGTGAACCACTCTGGTGAGAGAATACGATGTGCTGAATTTCACTTGTGGTACAGCTGTGTGGCAGCGATAGGTCAAATATCCATCTTTCTGAGAAATATTCAGAAGTATGAAGTTTGTGATGGTACTGATCATGTGTATTCCCTGCATGTTGTTCAGCCTCCCGTCAACTGTAATTAGATGTTTTCAGAGAAGCAGTAATGACTGAAAGTCTCCTCTAGGTGATGAAATCAGTTGCCCAAGGAGTCCTAAGTCATCCCAGTCATCTCCTGAGGTGCATCTGATGGAGAGGAGATTCTATTTACCTGCAAGTCTTATTGACTCTTATCAAGTTCAATTTTCACTCGAATACCAAGGATCAATGTGCGAACTCTTCCTTATTTTCCTTTTTAGCCTTATCTTTTTTTTAAATCCTGGATATTTTCTCTGTAGTCCCCTTTTAATGCTTAAGCACTATGTATGAGTCCATTTGAACCTGTTCCTCTTCCCCACCCCCTTTCAGTCTTTGGCCACAGCTTGAAGACAATTAATGAGCAAAAAATAAATGCTTTGCATCCATCACTTGGGGAGATAGGAACTGTTTCGTTTCTTGACAGTGAAATTTCATGCCAAAAAATCTGAAAACTCCTGATAAGACTCTGGTGTAATTGAATGATCTAACCAAGTCAAAGGAATCCTGCATAGGCCCTGTCTGCTTGATTCTGACTTCAAGTGTATCTGCCATGTGTCCCCTCAGTTCTTCCATATTTGACCACATATCCGATCAGAATTCAAAATGTATATACGTATGTGTGTTTATGTACAGTGGTGCGTCGTTTAACGGCGATAATCCGTTCTAGGAAAATCGCTGTTAAGCAAAAACGTCGTAAAGTGAAAATAAAAAGCCCATTGAAAACCATTGAAAACCGTTCAATGCGTTCCAATGGGCTAAAAACTCACCGTCCAGCGAAGATCCTCCATACGGCGGCCATTTTTGGTGCCTCTATAGTGAGGAATCTGTGCCTAAACACAGCGGGGGGCCATTTTAATTACCCGGCGGCCATTTTGAAACCGCCGATCAGCTGTTTAAAAAACATCGTTTTCGAAGAATCGGTTCCCAAAGCAGGGAACCGATCGATCATTGCGAAGCATAAAACCCTATTTAGACCATCGTTTTGCGATCGCAAAAGCGATCGTAAAAATGTCGTCGTGAAGTGGATTCATCGTAATGCGGGGCAATCATAAAGCGGGGCACGACTGTATTTAAAATATTTTTAAACCACTTGCACAGTCCCAGGGTGCCCCTAGAAAAAGAGAATGGTAAACCATTTCTGAATATTCTCTACCTGGAAAACCCTGAAGAGGGTCTCCATAAGTCAGAATTGACATGATGCATCATCATCATCATCATCATCATCATCATCATCATCATCATCCACACCCTCCTCCTTCTTCCTCGCTGCATTCCGTTTTTCACTCTTTAGCCGTGCAGCTGCCAAGAGGAGGAGCAGCCGAAAAAGCTCCAGCCTGAACAATTCAGAGTCCAGCCTCGAATGCTTGTGGGGCGACAGGTTGGCTCAATCGCTGGCGCATTTGTTGTCTCCTAAGTCAGTCACTAAGGAAAAGCTTGTCTGAAAAGAAAGGTCTTTGCCTTCTTTTGGAAGGACAACAAAAATGGCACCCATCTGGCCTCCTGGGGGGGAGGGGATTCTGGGAGCAGTGACAGAGAAGGCCCTCTCCTGTGTCCCCAGTGAGGATGGTAGGACTGAGAGAAAAGACAGCCCTGATGATAGCTTGGACCCAAGTTGTTTAGGACTTCATAGGGGCTGTGTATAGAACTTGCAGAAATTGGGGGTTTTTGGACTACATTCCCAAGATCCCTCGGCCAGCACTACTGTGGGGCATGCTGAACAGGGCATGCTGGGAAATGTAATCTAAATAGTAACTTCTCCAACTCGTTTCTGTATCTGTGCCATGACTTTTGGCCACACAGCAGACTTATGAAAGTATACTATATTAGTCATCAGAAGTCATCAGAAAATAAGTCTTCGATGAAAAGGGACAGAAAAATGCATAGAATTTGGGAGAGACTTGGCTCAGTAATATTACATGTGAGAAGGATCTTGGGATTGTTATAGATCACAAACTGAATATGAGCCAATGTTGCAATGTGGCTGCAAAAAAGGCAAATGTTATTTTAGGCTATTAGCATAAATATAGCCCCCAAGTCATGTGAAATACAGTACTAGTTTCCTTCTCTACAGCACTCTATATAGCACTAAGTCTACATCCTGAGCTCCAGTTCTGGATCCAGTTTTGAATGCCACACTCCAAAAAGGATGCAGACAACCTGGAACATGTTCAGAGAAGGACAACAACTATGATCACTAGACTGGAAACCAAGCCCTATGAGTAAAGACGGAAAGAACCAGGCCCATTTAGCTTAGAAGAAGGAAGACTAAGGGTAACAATCTCCAAATATTTAAAAGGTTATCATACAGAGAAGTGCAGGATCTGTTCTCAAACGTGTCAGAGTGCAGAACACATAATAATGGGTTCAAGTTAGAGGAAGCCAGATTTTGGTTAAATATCAGGAAAAATAACTGTCAAAACAGTAAAACAATGAAACCAGTTATCTCAGGAGGTGCACTGGAGGCATTCAAGAGAAAGTTAAGACAGTCATCTGATGTACTTTGGAATTCCTGCATTAAGCAGGGGGTTGGACTCAATGGCTTTTCTCTACCCTTTCCAACCCCATTCTATGATTCTAGTAATTTGTTGGATTGCCTGCCTTTTTACTCTCTTGTCACCGTGGAGCTCCAGGGAGATGAACAGATGAGGCTTGTAGAGAAAGACAGAGACAGATGGGGTGCAGAGATGAAGTCAAAAGAAATACAGCCACTTAAGGTAAAAAGAGAGGGGGGGGGCTATAGGAAAAAATGTGCAATCTTCTAAATCAGCCATGTCAACTGTACAGGGTGAATTGCATTTATCTATAGTTTGATAAGGGTAGCTAATGCTGCCATCCTTATCTTGGCTCTTGCATTTCTTGAGTAATGGATTTATAAGCTTTATTTCTCTTTTTTTGACATAACCCATTTTCTGTTCTAGGTTATATAAACGTGTGCAGCAGTGTGGCGATAATAGGTCTCTTATGCAAGTAATCTTTATAAAACCAGTTTTATAATTATTCCAGTTAAAACAGAGGTTTTCAACATGGATCATGCCAAAGAGTGTTCAGGAATGCTATGGATTCTGGTCCATACTTTTGTCATGGGGGAGGCAACATAAGGCCCATTGGGGGCCTGGCACCTTTCAGATTTAAGGGGTTTAAAGCCCCTTGTGCTCTGTAGAGGAAACTTTGTAATCTTTTGAGGAACACCCAGCCCCTCCACCCCCAAAATTTCTCTTTAAACTTTGGGCACAATTAAACTTTTTCAGTAATTCTATTCATCTTTCACTTATGTAAGAAAAGGTTTGGGTGGTGGTTATGGGAATAGGTGCAACCCTCCAATAACCAGGAATGGAAGCGATGCGTGCCTTCTGGAACTTTGTCCATCCTTGCTTTAAACTAAGGGAGGGAATACTTGGCTCTGATTTTTTTTTAAAAGCGATTCTTTGCAGCTTATTCTTTCCTTTGGGAGCTCTGCTCTGCAGTAGGCTATGATCAGGGCTGGCCTTAGGGTAAACTGTCCCATGGTTGAGGACCACCTCAGGCTTTAGCTCCCCTGTCTTGTTTCAGGGCCGCCAGATCATGTGGCTTAAGTAGAATTGTCAGGCCTGTTCCACTGATATAAAAGTAAAAACGAATGGCATCTTGAAGCTAGTTGATAGGAGTTTATTTTCATGGCCCAACCCCCCCCCAAAAAAACACAAAAACAAAAAAAAAACCATTAAAAAAGGGAAAACACAGTGGGCAATTAAAGAGCACCTCTTGGCCTTCAGCCATTTTTATTGTTCCTGCCTCTGCCATGCTGCCGCATTTCGTTACTATGATAGTAATAGCAAAGTAATAATTTTTTCATGAAACAATGGGGTTGGGAAACATGTGCCTTGTTTAACTGCATCTCCCAGAAAATTGAGCACCCTGTTTTGATGCCTGTATAACCACACTAACATTCAAGAGTGCTGTGAATTTAAAAGAAAAAAAATCCTTCCGTTGCCCATGCAGCACAGCCAGAATTTTGCAGTGTACCAAGAGGATGCAGTTCTGGGGGAGTTACAGTAGTCCACCCTACTCCAACTGTCGAATTTTGAAAAAGTGTTCATTCACATTACTTTTCTAAATGATTTTACTGAAGGCAAGTACACTCAGCAAACACTAAATCACTGATTTTTGCTTGGTTACGCCGTTAGAAATCATGGATTAATTGGCTGGTGGCTCTACCCATTAAAGACCATCATTTCTTTACATCTTTACATCATTTCTAGGTTATACTTGTTGGAATTTTTGGAACCTCGCATGCTGCCTTTAGTAGGTTTGTCTGGGAGGGAACCATTTGGGGCTGAGGTGACTGTCAGTCTCTCCAGCACTGACCAATGGTTCCTTCTATGCTTCTGAATTCAAAGAGAGCCCCGCCTTTCTGCTCACTGCTTTTTCCCCTCTCTCGAGTCTGGTGAAGTCTGTTGCTGAAAAGCATTCATGTTTGTCAGTTTGTTTTTTTATCTGTTCAATTGTAAGTAATGACATCTCTTATTCTTACGTCTCAGAGTGAGTTATTGAGACTATAAATGCCAGTAAATGAGAAAAAGGGTGACTGCTCTGGGGAAGCTATTCTGCACTATGAATCCCTGCATAGATAGAAGAATTTTACCAAAAATTCAAAACTTTGCAGCAATGCTAAGGGGACACTAGATAGAATGAAAATCAGGTCATGCAAAGATAGGACTTATGATAGGATTGCAACTAACTTCAAAGAAATGTTAGTGTACTAATTGTAAGAGTTAATCAGTGAATTCATTCATGTTTTAGATTAAACATGCATGTAGAATGATGAAGCAGATAGCTTTGAAACAAGAAGCATGTTTGTTTAGTTGGTTTTGGGGATGTTGTCACTGCCATCATGGGGGAAGAGGCATTCTTGGTGGTTTCTTATTCTTTTACTATATTTTTTATTTATTTAATGTTCATCTTCATTGGAGGGCTCCCACAGTACAAAGCACAGCTGATATCATTAGGCACTCCTGCCAATGGACCAGGTTTCATGCCTTCTAAGATCAGTATAGCAAGATCGGAGGGGGCATAAAAAACAGATTTGAAAACTATGCTACAGAGGAAGGAAGGAAGGAAAGGAAAAGTCTCATTTATTTAGCAGTTGAGTGATTGAACATTTGAGTTTCAGCTTCTGTTTCAGACTATCAGAGACGTTGGCCGCCTTTTTAAAGGCGGTGGTCGCCATCCGCAGTTTTTCTAAGCATTTTAATTGGAAATAATGTATACATCTGCTACTAAATCAAAGTACCATTTTAGTCAATTCACAACATACTCTGTACATGTCTCTTCAGAATTAAATCCAGTTCCATTCAGTGGATTTAGTGTTGCGGGCCTAGGTTTACTGTATTTTTTTTCCCAAGTAATAGGTTCTAATCTATTATATGATCATGGATTTTTGAATTTGTTTATTTTGTATTTTGGGGGGGAGTAAACGGTTAGTTGTTTCTCTGCACTCAAATTCATATGTGATCTGAGGATGTCTGATTAGAACTTGTGCTTAGGTTCTAATTTTTATTTGCGTGTCTGGTGTTGATCTTTATACGTACAGGGAACACCTTGATGGGAGATTGTTGAAGCTGTTTCCGTGTGGGAAAAATCTGTCTCTTAAGAACTGAGGCTGAAAATTCACTTGCACAATCTTAACATTAGCCCTGGGCAAGCCCACTCTCATACTCCTCCTTGTTTTAGAAACATTCTGAAACACAGGAAAATAACTGTGGAGAGGCGAATTGGGAGTAATTATTTGAAATTCTGCACTTTTCCCTTTTCAGAAGGGGGAGTGCTGTTCTATCCTTCCCTTTTCCTATGAAACATGTATGTGGTTGGCTAGTGCGGGAACAGAATGCTTTTGGCCTGACTGAGCATGACTCTTGTCAAGTTCTAGACTTTTTATTTAGTCCTCCCAGAATGTTTTTTGTATAGCACTGGACTTTCATAGTCACAGTGCAAATATTGTTAGTAGGAGATGGGGGCCTTCAGTATTTGTAGCAGTGAGGCTATGACTCCCTGTTTCTTTCCTAATGTCTCATTGTTTTCTACAGTGGTGCCTCGCTAGACGATGATAATCCGTTCCACTGAAATAGCTGTTTAGCGAAATCATTGTCTAGCGAAAATCCTTTCCCCATTGGAATGCATTGAAACCTGTTTAATACATTCCAATGGGGAAGAATCATCATTGTCTAGTGAAGATCGGCCATAGGAAAGCTGCTTTGCGAACCGCCGATCAGCTGTTTAAATCGCTGTCTTGTGAAGCTTAGGTCCCCAAAACACCTGTTTGTGAGCGTGGAGGGAGCTGTCAAAATAGTTGTCTAGCGAAAATCGGTTTGCAAAGCAGGGACCAAACATTGTCCAGTGAAATTCCCCCATAGGAATCACTGTTTTGCGAATCACTATAGCGATCGCAAAAAGCCAATGTCTAGCGAAAAACTGTCATGCAGGGTAACCGTCTAGCAAGGCACCACTGTACTGTATCTCCCAGTTGTTATGCTGAGTGTGAAAGAATCATGCCAAGTGATGATATACGTATATGATCAACTTAGGCATACAGGGTACTTTAAATAAGAGCTGAGCTGAAACAAATACGTTGATTCCAGTGTGATATTTCTTGCAACATTAGACATTTTGCTTCTATAGCCTTGAATGACTTTTACTGCAGGATTACCAGCATTCTGTTACCTGTGGTTTCATAATGCTTTAATATGAACAATCCTTTTTCTTTATGTTGCTGCATAATGATATAATATCTGAACAATTGAATCTGTTGCCATGACAGAATGGTGCCAGCCAAGGTGCACTTTTTTTGGTCTTAGATGCTGATGCTGCAAAATGTAGAACTAATTTGATGTATCCTTCTGAGGTTTCACTATGAAAATTTTGTTGACATCACAACAGAAGTTATCTGTTTAAAATCAGTGGGCTTTCTCATGACAGTTCAGCCTGGTATCAGAAACATTTCCATTCATCTGATTTTGTTATTGCCTGAATGTTTTGAATGGCCCTTATAATAAGGTTGCTCTAATCCCTGTAATGCCTAATAACGTGTACCTGCCTTCTAGATATGGCTCACTTTACAGATAGATCTTCATTGCTGCTTGTTTGTGTATTATATTTATATCTAATACATTTGGAATCCCACCTTCCTTGGTAGCATACACAGGGTCATCACAAAGGGGCACCCATCCAGAAATAGACTTAAATCCATACTGTGATTACGGTACTTTAGCACACTCCGATCATGTCCTGGGCCTTCATGAGTGTCTGGATGATTTGTGCACATGTGCATGTGTGTAATAGATCGCCTGTAATAGACTGTCAAATGAATATCTTTAGGAAGTCATTTTGTGCGTGCGTGTGTGTTGTAGTGAAAGGAAATAATAAGCTTGTTTTTGTTTTGTTTCCCTAGCATTGGATTAAACTGTGCTTTGGGAGCAGTGGAAATGAGGCCTTTCATTGAAACTATTGGAAAATGCACAAATGCCTACATCATTTGTTATCCCAATGCAGGTAGGAATTCAGATCTGTGAAAATTCAGGTGTCCATCTGCATTCAAAAAAACATATATTTGTTAATCGTGTGATATAGATTTAAAAATGGCATAACAAAAAACATTTATATTATTTTTTTCAACTATAACGATCATGTCATCATACAAACATCTACACACAAACCATAAAGCAAGATTTTAAAGGAATTCCTTTAAAAAAAGAGAGATGCACCTTTATTTTTTTTTAAAAAAAAAACACCCATAAAATGTATTTTTATAGTGAAAGATACTTGTAAATAGAGAAAGGAAGAACAATGAGTAAAAAAGAGTCAGCTGCTATCTCTGGCCAACCTTATCATTCTGTTCACTAGGCTGCAACCAAAGTCCCACTCAGGTATCTAGCTACTCCTTGGGCTTGGGAGGATTTTGTTTGCTGTGTATGCACAGGGATATACTAGGGAGAAACATGGAGGGTGGGGGATCTATGCCAGTGGTCTTGGAGAAATATAATAAACATGAATATGTAATGTATAATAACCACAGTGCCCAGGTTTTCTCTGCCCTATTTTGAGAAGAGATGAATGTGAAAGAACTAAAAACAAAAAAGATTAGACCTTTGGTAATTTAACTTCCTTGTTTATTTTAACAAGGCTAAATTATACACTTATTAAAAATAGAAAAGGTGGTGGTGACATGAAATGCAAAATTAAGCATGTACACTTCTCCTTTGAATTGCACAGGTTGGAACAGAGCTGTTTTGGTTATGCACTGATATATTTTTTTTCCAATCAATCAATCCTGTACTGCTATTTGTCTCCAGTGGCCTGAGAAAAGTGGGGCTTGGACTCACTGAGGCCCCTGTTGTGGGCAGTGTGGTGCCCCCTCTCCTGGCATGGTGGCTCATCGTGACACTTCTAAGGCTGAAGTGGGTCGGGGGAGGTTTGTGTGCGTGTGTGTATGAGTTATATGTGTGAATCAACTATGTATGCTTTGTAGTTATGTTTTGGGGACATAAGAGTTATACACGGGTTTGGCGCTTTATAGGGTTCCAGCATCCCTAACCTCAGCGTTTTTGAGTGTAATTTATTAGGACATGCAGATCCATGAAGCATTCTACGTGTATATGTATATCTGACAAAATGTGTTTGTCTTTAAAGGACCAGAAGACTTTGTAGGGTTTAAATTGTTTGATTTTGCTAAAAAAGTTGCTTTTTTTTAGCTGGTCTTTTGTGTGCAGTGATCACTGGTCCTTGTGGCTGGGTAGAATTCATTAACTTTTTGGAGGCTGTATTTTTCAGTGCTGGGAGCCAGGCTTTGTTGAGTTTTAGACTTTCTTCTTTTTTGTTGAAGGAAGAAAGTTTAAAACTCAGCCACAAGGACCAGTGAGCATTGCACACAAAAGACCTGCTAACAACACCCATCAATCACAGTGACAGATCATCTCTCCTCCTTATCACAACAATACACCACAACAAAAAACACACTGATCACCATAATCACCCAATCTCCTGAAAAGGACAAAAAGCTGATCCCAGACCTGTAAATACTCAACTATCCCACAAACTGCACCAAAGCACAGAGTTCTGACTCCTGTCCTCTGAAGATGGCAGCCACAGAGACTGGCGAAACATTAGGAAGAAAATCCTTCAGAACATGGCCAAACAGTCTGAAAAACCTACAAAAACCATCGAATCCCGGCCGTGAAAGCCTTCGAGAATACATTGTTTGGGCACTGTTCAGTTGCAGAATCAGATGTGAGACCAGGCATGCAAGTGTCAGTAGCCATAGTGACACTTAGCTGTATCACACTTAGATATGTCAAGTTATGCAAACCTTATGTGAACACTAGCAGGATTCTGGCTGTTGCGCTTGGAGCATGAAACACCATGATGAATGTAATAAACTGTTAACTGTAATTTTAATATGTATGTCTGAATGTGGTAGGCTAACATTTGTGGAGAAAGATATTAAGTTGGTTTTGGCTTGTTGACAACACTTAAGTGGGTGCCTTTTTGTTAAATATTACAGCAATTGTTTCTGCACCACAGCCTGCTAATGGCCTGGTTAAGATTTTTAATGAAAGTGGAAATTCACTTTTACAAGGAGAGAGAAACCCAGAATAATAAATAATATTGAAAAGCAACTATTTTAAAGCTAGGTCAGGCAGTTGCCTGGAAAACCTAGTTAAGAAAGGAATAATTAGTTTTTTATATATTACCCACGGAGCATGTATTCATTAATTCCAGCAATGCTCTCAGGTGGTTATGGTAAATAAATGCCTCTGAAGTGATTCAGGGCCTTGGAATTAAAAAACCGTGCTGAAGATTCCCATATATGAAGGCTCTGGTGTATTATTTACTGAGCAAACTATAACATGGCATTTGACAGAAATCATAAAGAGCAAAATTATAGATTATGTGTGTTTTAAATACTATATTTCTTCAGGTCTTCCTAACACCTTTGGTGGTTATGATGAAACACCTGAAGTGACTGCCAAGCACCTTAAGGTAAGGGACATTTCCTATGTCAAGTTGTTCTTGCTGGAAAAAAAAGAAAATTATGTATACAGTAATTGGAGACAAAGTTACGTTCTTGGGGGGGTGTCTTCATATATATATATGCTTACTTGACAATAAGTCACAGTGAACCTTGTAGGGCTTAGATGTGAGTAGACAGGATCTGTTGCATATTTAAAGTGCAAGCCTATACAAACAGACTGGAAATCTTTGTTTTTCTGGGCCACAACTCCCAGAACTTTCCACATATCACAGGAGTTGTATACAGTGGTGCCCCGCTAGACAATGACCTCGCAAAACAGTGAATCTGCATGACAGTGAGTTTTTGCAATCGCTAACAGCACTTCTCAGAACAGTGTTTTCTATGGGCAATTTCCATTGGACGATGTTTCGGTCCGTGCTTCGCAAGACGTTTTTTTTTGGGGGGGCACCGATGCTTCGCAAGGCGACAATTTTAACAGCTAGGTCGGTGCTTCGCAAAACGGGTGTTTTCACAAGACAGCGATTTTAACAGCTGATCGGTGCTTTGCAAAATGGCTTCCCTATAGGCGATTTTTGCAAAACGACGATGATTTTTCCCCATTGGAAGGCATTACATGGATTTCAATGCATTCCAATGGGGAATCGCATTTCACAAGACGATGTTTTCACAAGACAGCAATTTCAATGGAACAGATTAACATCATCTTGCGAGGCATCACTGTATTAAAAATGTTTTCTCATTGCTGCTTGTACTTCCCTAGTCAAGGAAAGTTTGGTGCACTAACAGGCAATTTTGCTTGGTTGTGGGACACCCCTGGTTCCCCAAAAGACTCCGATCATATTTGAGGCCCTGAAATTCAAATTATACCCCCAGTGGCCTCTGATGGGTGCAATTTATACTGTGTTCTTCTTCCTTATAGGAGCTGTTTTAGGGCTCTTTTCCCCAAATGGCTATCTAAGGCCTAAACTGCCCTGGGCAAATTGTACCCCTTAACTGTTCAGGGCAAATTGTACCTTCAGGGAGGCATTGATTTGCAACTGTGAATTGCAAAAATTGGGGGGGGGGAGGTGGAGTTTGAGGAGGGTATGGTGAGGCTTGAGGACTGCACTGGCTCCTATGGGGGACCATGTGTAGCCTGTGGGCTCAATTTTGCTCTCCCGAATATGTAGGATTGCAAGCTTATTTTCGTATAAGAGAATGTTAATTGTTTGAAGAATTCCAGGATCTTTTCCTTCTCTGAATGCCAAAAATAGAAGGAATATCCTGTTGTGTCATTGTTGTGTTGAGAACAATTTCACCGTAAGCCCTTCTTTCTGATTTGCGGGGTTTATTGAAAAAAGCAAAACAAAACTAGAAAGTTGAGCTGTTCATGGTAGCTCCCACCACAATAAAGAGTAAATACGTCCTCACCATAGAGTCACAAAAACAGTTTGTTGACCCACCTGGCTGAAATTACATTCTCTGTTTCCTCAGCCACTGAAACAAATCCATGAATTCAGGCAAAGACCGATTTTGCTGCAGTCCTGTTTCTATGTGTAACCAGCTACAACACCTACAAATATATTAATCTTCCACACTTGGCCTGTCGTGAGATATTTTAGAGCTGGGAAAGTTTTAAGAGCTGTTGGCTTGAATAAAAAAATATTGCAATGCATTACCATTGCTACTATAATGGGAACTTCTAACTTGGTTAACAACTGAATTTAGTGTTCCTGTAACACCCTGTCTAAAATGAATCTGACTATTTTATTTACCTCCTAATAAATAAAATTCTTACATGAATATGCTACTTTCCCTTTCAATTATTGCTAGTTTGGTCCCATAAAGGAAATTCAGAAAGTACTATTCTTTTTCTGCAGACCTTTGCCACAGACGGTTTGGTGAACATAGTTGGTGGATGTTGTGGAACCACTCCAGCACACATCCGGTAACCTCATTTGTACACTGGCAAGAACAGCTATCTGTAATGGATGTTCTAAAGGGCTATTTGACCACCTCTTCTGGCTAGAGCAGCCACTATATGCTTTGACATGTTGTCTTTATGAGGCTGCTAACAAGAGGAGGGGTCAAAGCAGAAGAGAGATTGTAGGGAGGAACTGGACCTGACGGTTGTTCTGGGTTTTTCAGGCTCTTTGGCCGTGTTCTGAAGCTTGTTCTTCCTAACGTTTCGCCAGTCTCTCTGGCCGGCAACTTCAGAGGATAGCACTCCTGGACCTGACCTGTGTCTTTGGCTATAGCCAACTTTATTGAGATTGCTTAAAAACTCTAATGGGGAGTTAGCATAAAGATGCATGAGGCACTGGGGTTTCATAATGCCATCTAGCTGTCAAGGATAGCTACTAAGAATATTCCACAGACAGGCTGCAAAGATGAGTTTTGGGCCATCAACACTAAAGAAAATTTCAATTTGCTGTGCTTTAAGACAAGCCTTTTTTAAAAAAGGATTCAAGGAACTGATGGCCAGGTTTGTTGGCTGGGTGATATGTAAAAGCAGTGCTAATTAAACCAGAATTAAACATTTGTTCAGCAACAGCTAGTTTTGTGATGGAAAGTTAATTGGAAAACATCACTGTTTCTTTTTTGATAGGTGGGGTGTAGCCATTTTTCTCTTTTAATAGAAGTTGATGGAACAGTGTCTTTACAGTTTTATGAGGGAACAGGGAATGGGAAGATGGGATTGAGTTGGGTGTGGAAAGAGAATGTTGAAAGAGAAAGAAATGCAATGGAATTACTATGCAACTAATTTAATGATTAGCCCTGAATCATAGAATACTGAAGTTGGAAGGGTCCTGTAAGCCCATCAAGTCCAACCCCCTGCTCGATGAAGGAATACAACTCAAAGGATATCTTGATGTATATGAAGAGAAACTTATGTATATGAACAGTGGAGTTATTACATCCATCCCAGATACACAGCAAAAGCAATTGGATATCTGTTTACTGAATCATTTGCTCTGTGCCTCTGTGTTAGCCACAAATGTGGGCTACTTTGTCAACAGAAATGAAACAAAACAGGGGTAACTGATATGGAAGCATCAGCATGCTCAGGGGGAACCAAAATCTTAATTAAAAGGATTGGCCTCCACTAAAAGAATACTCATTGAGGACGGAGGTGCTCAGTGTTCACTCAAAGCCATGGAATGCTATTGTTGTGTCAGTAGGGAAAGAGAGCAAGGGAAAGAGAGGGTGGAAATCTTGCTTTTTATGAACGTCCTTCAATTAATCACATCAGAATCCACTTCTGAGCTGGTTTACCCAATTCTTTGATCAGGAACAGTTAACTTTAACAGATTAGCTATCAAATGTAGTGCTTTCTATGATATGAATGCATTAGATACATGAATGTACATATAGACATTTGTGGGTGATAATGATGTGTGGGAGTTGACGATTAGCATGTCAGCTGCTGTTTCCAGTCGGAGTTATATCAGTGAGTTTTTTACTTGAAGATAAGGAAAATGATGTATTAAATGTGCAGCCATCTTCACAGCTTAGTTCCTTGTGTGATTTCTTTTCCTGTTTTATAATACAGGGAGATAGCTGAAGCAGTACAGGGATGTAAGCCCCGTGTTCCTACCTCTTCGTTCTCAGAAGGCTACATGTTGCTGTCAGGTAAGAGACTGACATATCTGTACATCTCGGCCAACATCCTCCTGTATGTATTTTGCCGCTTCATTTTCCACCTGATTTATTCCCCTCCCCCCCCAGAAAATTTCAGTAAGTTATTGGATATCATATAATTTATGTCATTCTAGACTGCCTATCAAATTAATTGGGGTTGCAAAGTCCTTTTCTTCTTAAAGTTGTTTTGTTCATATGATGGGTCTGTTTGGAATCCTCAAATTTTGATGGATTGTAGTTAATAAGGGAGAGAGAGAGAGTTGGTTTGCTGGGGTAGGTTCTGTTAGCTTCCTGTACACTGCTGTGAAGATAGTTCCCAAAAGAGAATAAGATTCTAGTTGTCTTTGCTACTCATCAGTTCCTCCCTTTCTACACTCCTTCACATCTCTCACAGGATAATGACAAAAACAAGATGAGGTACAGTAATAATCTCCTGACTATCGAGGGTCTGTTGTTGGGCAGTTGCTATTCCTTTGAATCTGGTACTCTGTGCTGTGTGGAACTCTTATCTTCTAGAGCAGTGGTCTCCAACCTTGGGCCTCCAGATGTTCTTGGACTTCAACTCCCAGAAATCCTGGCCAGCAGAGGTGGTGGTGAAGGCTTCTGGGAGTTGAAGTCCAAGAACATCTGGAGGCCCAAGGTTGGGGACCACTGTTCTAGAGCAGTGGTTCCCAACCTTGGGTAACCTAGGTGTTCTTGGACTGCAATTCCCTCAAACCCTTGCTAGCACAGTGAGTGCTGAAAGCTTCTGAGAGTTGCAGTCCAAGAACATCTGGGTTACCCAAGGCTGGGAACAACTGTTCTAGAGGAATTAGTGATCCTTTCCATCTCTGTGCCATTAATGGAGGAGAGGGCCAATGGAGAACATATACACAACCCAATCTTGTAGCACATTGTGAACTATGTTAAAATACTGTAAATCTGTTAGGCTTAAAGATTGATGATGATGGTGGTTTGTTACATAAATTTAAATAAGGTTACTTGTAAATATAAAAGGTAACCAATGTGGCTTCTTATTTAGCTTTCTAATCTGTGTATTTGAGTTGCATCTATAAAAGTTCAATATAACTTAGGAAAACTATATGGTCTGAGTTTTTCTGTACAAATGCAATATTCTTTTCTCTTTTGTGATTATAAAACTTTCTAGGTCTGGAACCATTCAGGATTGGGCAGTACACCAACTTCGTTAACATAGGTGAACGCTGCAATGTTGCGGGATCAAAAAGGTTTGCCAAACTCATCATGGCAGGCAAATATGAAGTAAGGCTTCTGTTTATTAAACTTTTAGATGGACTTGAATCATGTTTTATATTGTATAATTCCACCATTTAAGACTTAGGATGTATATAATTCTAGTAGTTAAGCAATGTATCGTCAAATTTTCTGCTGTTTGAACTGCACCTATTGGTGTGACACAGACAACATGAAATAAAATATTGATGCAGCTCTCCTACATCAATGAAAGATTTGTATTCAAGCAATCTCAGTTTAAAAATCTGTAAATTTTGATGAAACAAAGTAGGGCTTAATTTGTTTTAGTAGAGAATTGTGAGCCCTGCGTATGTGATGCTTCTTGTTAAATAAATAAATGCATTGGAGGCCACCCAGATCTCACCCTTGATCTTTAGTTTTGCCCCACCTACTTTAGATCAATTCTGCATGCTTGTTGCTACTTACCTACTTTTTGCATCTATACTAAACAGGTTCCTTTCAGACTAACACACTGCATGGACAGATGAATGACACCTGGAGTAAACCAAGTCCTTTATGCTAGAAAAGAGCAGTAATCTCCTATAAGAAAACCAGGAAAAATAGGCTACACATTTAAGTTAATAAATATTTGGAACATTATTTTGTGAAATGAATGGGAAACTGCTTATTGCTGATCTTTACTAATTCTAAATTTGTGCTAAGGAATTTGTGCTAAGGCTACCTACATTTTTGTAATGCTTCTCTGATTACTTTTTAGGATGCACTGAGTGTGGCCAAGGCTCAAGTTGAGATGGGAGCTCAGATTTTGGATATCAATATGGATGATGGAATGTTAGATGGGCCAAGTGCTATGGCTAGATTCTGCAACTTCATTGCTTCAGAACCTGACATTGCCAAGGTTGTATGCGCAGATTTTGAGGTCTTAAGTTACATGGATGTTCTTGCATTAGGTGGAGAAAATTAAGAAAAATAGCACAAGGCAGAGTCTTTAAAGCTGTATGTGATATTTAAACATGTTTTGCTCACTTGACACTTAAATGTGGGTTCCCCCTACAGTGTTGTTGTAACATTAGGAAAACACAGCAAAATGTTTTGGGCTAGTCATGGGGTGCCCAAATGTCTTGACTTGTAACCATGTGATTGTATAAAGACTGTGTGATTGACCCTGCTATGGAATAAATTGACAGAAAGTCAGCTGTCCTGCTACAGTTCCTCAAATATTTGAAAGGCACCCTATGTTTCAAAGAAACAATTACTTAATACATTTATTTCCTTAAGGAATGAATTTTTTCGATATGATTCACAGTGGGACAGGAAGATTTTTGCTGTTCAGCATGAGTTCTTATGGAGTTCTGATGTCAATGATTCACTTTGAAAAGCACTGCATAAGCCAGAAACCAGCTAGCCTCCCTGTCACTTTAATGTAGCTAAATCTTCTGTGGGCATCTGTGTGGTGATACATTTTCATTTGTTGGAAACAGAATGGTGTAACTCCAATCACCTACTTGTCAGCTTTTCTGTCACAGTGTGGTTTGTGGTCAAATCAGGTTCTCAAGTGTAGCACTCAAATTGTGATCAATCCTGAACTGCTGAGAATGTTTAGCATTACGTGCACATGTCAGAAAGAACCTGGAAGAAGAGTCGGATGAATCTCAAGTAATTATTTAAATGGCAGATCATCCCGTTCAGCAGTTTGCAGTCAGAGAGCTATAGGGTGCATGTGGAAGTCTTAACTTCTTATAGAAAAAAGAGGAGATAAACAGAGCCTGGGGTGTGGTAAGCACAATGTCATTCACTCACTCTCCACTGGGCAGTCCTAATCCACCTATATATTCTGAGATCAGTGCAGCTTTCTGGCAAATGAGTATGTGTTGGTTTCTTACCCCCTGTTTACTAGACCTTACTTCTGGCAATGGGTGTTGGATGTGCAGAATAGCAAGAAATGAAATTGACGTCAAGGGGGAAATAGATTTTCTTAATACACTCACTCTGAAGTGTAGCTTCTTTTTGTCCACCAAGCTGGTGCATGACATTTGAAACTTGGCAGGAAATTGCTGTGCACCGTGTTCTTTCTTCAGCTCTGCCTTTTGTGTGTGTGTGTGTGTGTCCTTTGTAAATCTCAATGTCTGTAGCAGGCAAATATTGCTGTTAGTGGCAATAAATGTTTTCTGGATGATGCCACTAAAATAAGCTCTTAAGAGAGAAATAGACTGCAGAGGTCAACAACTATCTATGTCTATGATGCATGCTGGTAACTGGTGGTGTCCTGTTCCTTTAAAGCAGGTGGAAATATAATATGTGGCCCTGCAGATGTTGTTTTTCCCCCAACCCTAAAGAGCATAACTAAATGTCATGGCAGCTGCAATCTGACAACATTGAAAAGGATACACATACCCCACCTCTGCTTTAAAATCTGATGTGGGCTATATGATATCTCTCACACACCCCATTTTGTGCAAAGGCACACTTCTACCAGTTTAACATTGCTACCTTTGGCTTAGGTGGGACATGCAACCTCTTACTTTGCTTGAGTTGGAATTAGAAGAAAAAACATAACTTTTACACTGAAAAGAATGCTTAGATTTCTGATTTGGTGACCCCATGTTAATTCTATTTCTTACCATCTCTGTATCAGTGTTGTAATTATTTATTCATATAATTAATGGGAACTATTTTCACTGTTCACCTGTGCATATAAACTAGCAATAATGTTGTTACATCTTCCTGCCTACGATCTGCTTAGTGCTGCATAATTTTTTTCTAAGCTTTTTGTACTAAGCTTTAGATTCCTGCTCTTCTTGTTGTTAGGTGCCACTCTGTATTGACTCTTCAAATTTTGCTGTGATAGAAGCTGGATTGAAGTGTTGTCAAGGCAAATGCATAGTGAACAGCATCAGTCTGAAAGAGGGTGAAGATGATTTCCTTGAGAAAGCTAGGAAAATCAAGAAATATGGAGCATCTGTGGTGGTTATGGCCTTTGACGAAGTGGGTCAGGTGAGTATCATTTCCTGAACATGTCAGAGTTCGCTTTTATGAAGGTCTTGTATCATTTAGGAGTGAGTAGCCAGTGGGCATGGCTTGAAGGCCATTCCCCTCAGGGGTTATTTTGTGGTCCCTGCATCTCTGGATCCTTCCCATTTCTTACGTAGAGCTGGATAAAAGTTATTGTTTGAGTCCAGAAAGTAACTTTTCCAAGCTCTGATCATAACATTTTGTTCCATCCATGTTCTAGAGCAATGGTTCCCAACCTTGGGTCCTCAGATGGACTAGAACTCCTAGAAATCCTGGCTAACACAACTAGTGGTGAAGGCTTCTGGAATTTTTATCTGATCTTTGGAGCAATGTGTATTAGTTATAAAGGGTGGAAACCCATATCAGAAATCCAGATAAGAAGAAGTAAATAACTCTTATCATGTATTAAAAACAACCCTTCTTTTTCCAGGCCACAGAAACAGAAGAAAAAATTTCAATCTGCACTAGAGCCTATGGCCTCTTGGTAAACAAAGTGGGCTTTAATCCAAATGATATCATTTTTGATCCCAACATTCTGACTATAGGTACTGGAATGGATGAACATAATTTGTATGCAATTAACTTTATCAATGCAACTAAAACCATAAAAGTAAGTCTATGGGTTTTATTTTTGTTGCTACCAGTGTTGGTGGGGTAGAAACTGAGTGCTGCATAATGTAAGCAATGACCTAAATAGAACAGAATAGTTCTCACTCTTTCATCAGCATCCAGTATTTTTTTTAAAAAAGAAGAATTATATAGTAGCTTAAAAATAGTCTCAACCACTAACAGTACTGTAAATATACTTATAGTGATTAAGGGAGACAGAATTCATAAAATATTGGTAGGTAGCCAAAAGGCTTTTGTTAAACTATGTGAAAGCTTGCCTCATTTAATTAGAATAAGTTCAATTACTGCCAGAATATTCAATTTCTCCTTGGTTCTATAAATAAGATATTCTGTAGTCTAGCTACTCTGTTTATGATCAGAAGCCCACAAATACAAAGCCAAAATCCTGGAGGAAGGTATGATGTATGAAGTAGCCTTGAAATGGAATTGAAGCTGGGATCTCCAATATTTTTCTTTCTCCAGTGGACGATAGCTCATTGATGTAGGTGCCTGGCTATGGGGCCAGAGATTGGGAGTTCAGTTCCCCAAGGTGCCTCCCTGAGAGGGGCTAGACTCAATGATCCACGGGGTCCCTGCCAGCTCTGCAGTTCTAAAATGATGATGATATAATCATGTTGTTGCCTCTGGCACCCATACAGTCATACAATTTCAGGTTGAGAGTTCATATCCAAGAAAAAGAAATGTGGCTACTTTATCTAACCAGTTCTGAAGAATTTGCAGATAGTTCTGGGTGAGGGGTGGCATGTTACAGAAATCAATCAATCAAACAAGCAAACAAAAAACATAACCAGACAAACTAGTAAGCAAAACATGTACAATAAATAGACCTGAGAGTAGGATCAGCTGCGTTTTGAGACAAACACCTAAGTGCTTTTCTTCTCATTTCTACGTTATGCTTCAAGCTGCCAGTCTTTCTTGTCAGTGACCAGGCTGGTTTAACACAAAGTGGTTTGGCAGCTAGCTGTTCTCAGATCTTGAAAGGGTGATTTATTATTTCATTGATGGCTCATAGGCCTCTGGTAGAGAAATCTAGTTTAAAAAATATTCTCAGTTTGCTGGTATTCATCCTCTCGTTATCAGAAAACACTGCCTGGAGTCAAAATAAGTGGAGGCCTATCCAATCTGTCTTTTTCCTTCCGGGGAATGGAGGCTATTCGAGAAGCAATGCATGGAGTTTTCCTCTACCATGCAATTAAGGTAACAGAGGCAACTAGACAAAATGGCTTCTGACCAGAAGAAATATGTTGCCGTATTAATTGCTTTTCCTTTACTTATGTATTGTCAGTGTGGAATGGACATGGGGATTGTGAACGCAGGGAATCTGCCTGTGTATGATGATATCCCTAAAGAGCTTTTGCAGTTTTGTGAAGATTTAATATGGAATAAAGATCCAGATGCAACAGAGAAGCTTTTGCGTTATGCTCAGGTAATTTTTACAGTTTTTTTTAAAAAAAGATGTGAGCATTGACATTCATATTTTGATGTTCGAAAGCTTTAAAAAAATGAGCGTATCAGTTTGTCTTCCCTGGTGAGTGGCATGATTTGTTGATATGGAAGACTTGTAGATAAGTGGTAGAGCACCTGCTTTGTGTGCTGAAAGTCCTCAGATAAATCCATGGTGTCTTTAGGGAGGGATAGGATAGATTTCCTGCCCCAAATCCTGACAAGCAGTTGCCATCAGTGTCAACAATAGAGAATTAGATGGACAAGTCATCTTACCCAATATAAGGCATCTTCCTTTGTTCCTAACTTCTCAGGTCATAGATGTCAAAGGATTCTGGCTAATAACTTGTTGTGATTGCTATGTGCAGAACAACAGCCATGAAAGCAGCTGTAGCTGTTTGAAGGAGTGTCTGGCTGTTCAACCAGCATCTCTTCAAATAGGTATGTCTGCTTCATCATGCTCATTCCACATGATTCTTGCATTTGAGGGCATCTGATACTACTGTATTGACCATGTTTGCACTGCATATGAAGTATGACTTTTGTGATGTATGAAGCTGCCTCTTTTAACAACCTGTAGTTGGGAATGAATTTTTTGGTCCTGTATAGTTGCTGCTCTACAGCTTTAGATACTTACGTTTTAATGATGTGCTTTATGGCTTCATAGCTGCTTGTCCTTACCAGCAGAGCTTGTGAGGTTAGTTGCTGCTCTTCTTAAATAAGCAAGAAATCCCCAGGATTCTGAATCCAGATGTCCCAGTACATGATCACCCCTTCTCTTTAGATGCTTGTAAGGTTTGGGGATTTTCCCCCATTAGATCTTGTTGGTGATGGAGAGACAAGAGAAAGATTTTGGAATCCTTTCCCCTAAAATATCAAAGTGGGCTGTTCTTTTTAAACTGATGAAATGTTCTGGTTTGGTAAAGCTTTTGATTAATTAGCAATCCATTATGTGACATCACAAACTATTGCCAATAAGAGCTGCACCAAAGCCAAACTAATTTGTTAGGTTCTTAAAATGAATTGCTGCTAGAGTGGGCAGGGATTAATTTAAATTAAATTTCCAGAAATAAAAATCAAAGGCTTCAACCCTCTCACCATTCCATTTTCTATTGATGAAGCACTTTTGTCTGATGCCTTGCCTTTTTTTAAGAGCAAAGATCTTTTGAAAATAGTGAGCAGTTTTCTGTTTTCAAATACCTACAACAGCTGCCATGTAGGACATCAGTAGGGCCTGAGTACAGATGAGAAAGAAATGATGTGTTTGATTTTCATCTTGTATGCATTGGTAGAGACTGTGGTAGTGAGATGGTTACCTCTGATCCTGAACCCTCTAAAACAAAAGTGTATCAGCTTTAGTATCTTCCTGTACAATTTATGCAGTGAGTCAAACAAGGACTCAGGAGACTTGGGTTCGAGTCCCCTGTTCAGCCCTGGAGATGCCCTGGTTGACTTCAGGGTTGTCTCTTCGTTTACCTCGGAAGTGTGTTTGTGAGGCTGAAGTGGAGAATGGGCATGGTTATCCTGTTGCATACCTTATGAACCATTTTACTATTGTTGCTTTTTATTTAATATACCGTTTTTATTCCATTTTTATTGTTAGCCGTCCAGAGTAGACTTGTGTCTAGATGGGCGGGGTATAAATTTAATAAATAAATAAATATACATCCATTTAGTGATGCTTTTTTCTGAATTTGAGGTAAGCAATACATATGAGAAATTCTGCTTAGTTATCACAGCAGAATATGGTATCACCCTATATACAGTATGGAGTGATGCATGGTGTACTATCTGTATCTTCAATTATGGATACCAGGAATTCTGCCAGGATTTTTTTTTCTTGAGGCATTTCTTTTATTTATTTTTCCTCAGTTTGGATCAGAATTAGCACATTTTCTATGTTGAAACATGGAGTAGTTTAAGATATACACACTCCAGTGGCTTTGGGGTTATATTGTGGAGTAGTTATCAGACCGTGTTCACCTGTCTCTATGTAAACTGAGAATGAAAGATTACCATAGGAGGGTTGATGTGGTGTGGGAACAAACTTAATTAGACATGATATTTATAGCATGACTGACTTTGGTGAGACATTCTTCATTCAAGATACGGCAATTTTTGTAGAGAAAGACCAAAGCCCATTTACTTATTTATACCTGCAGAAGGCAAACCGTGACACTTCCAGTGTGGCCTCACAGGCAGTTAATGAGTCCCTGCTTGGATTTTTGGGCATCTGTATACCTGCTGATGTTGCCAAGGAGGGACTTGTTAGCTGCCTAGCTTTCCAGCAAGAATGTGCTAGAAATTACTCAATTTGCCGTCTGCAGGTATAACTGAGCAATGGGATTTGGGCCAGAATCAGCAAATTAAAAAGAGTAAAGCCACAAAAGTAGGCTCTGTGATCTAATTTTACAGTATTATCTGTTCAGCCAGGCCAGGTCATTGTCAAACCAACTTGGTGCCTCTGCTGTCTGGGGATGTTGAGTGTATCTGGAGGGTGTCAGATTGGGGAAGGTCTTGTGACAAAAGACTGAACTTTTGAGAAGATTTTACCAACATATTTCTAAAAGGAAACGTAACAAATGCAAACAGATATTTTTATTTTTTTATGCCTGATTTTCTTGTTAATGATCCTGACTCCACAAAAAACTAGCTTTCTAATTTTTAAACTCTCTGAATCTCAATGCAGACCCACGCTCAAGGAGGAAAGAAAATTGTGCAGACGGATGAATGGAGAAATAGCCCTGTAGAAGAAAGACTGGAATATGCCCTTGTCAAGGTAAATTTGTATTCATCTTCCCTTATCAGGTCCAGAGTCTGTTCTCTTTAAAGCGTGGGTAGACAACTGTGATTATAGAGATTTTTCGACTGCAACTCGTATCATCCCTCAGCATTGACTATGTGCTTAGAGCGGATGCAATTTATAGACCAAAAATATCTGGAGGGCGACGGTTGCCCACCCCCGTTTCATATGGATTTCATTTTCTTGTCTAACAACATCACCAAACTTTGAACCACAGAAAAGGATTATTTAAAACTGGGTGGTTATAATTGTCTGTATTTTCGGATTAAAGAATCTGAGAATTTTGTAGGAGAGTGCCAGTTTAAATTTCGCAGACTCACACTGTTCTAAGATTGCTTATGGTGAATGGAGGCATACAGTAGAAATTGCAAAGATAAATGGCACTCATGTTAAAGAATGAAAATGAGTGAATTTTAGCCATTTTTACATATGTATGTATGTCCGACAACATCAGAAATTACACAAGCTATCTCAGCAAGTCAAACAGTGGCTTGGCTCAGTCAGTGATGAAATGTATAAAATCCATGTTGCCTAAGATAAACTTGCAAGAATTCCTTGCAGATTTAGTGACTTCAGAACCTTTAATTCTGAGTACTCATCAAGCTGTTTTTGAAGCCAGTTCAGTTTACAGTTATGTTGTTTGCTGGTCAGTAGTTACTAGAATCTAGAAAATGACAGGCTGGTATAATGCAGGTCCATATATGGTAGACATCTCAAAGCAAGGCTGAAGCCAGGTGACCACATTCATTTTTGTTTATTCCCCACCCCCACCCCACTGCCGCCACCATTTACAGTACTGTGCTGAGAATATTTTAGGCTGTCAGGTAGGAGGGAGACTAGTAGTATTACCTAAAGGACCACCTGTGGGTGCTTAAACGTGCCTGAGAGTGGCCTGCCTTTTGAAATGAAGAACAGGGCCTTCTTGGTTGAGGTGCATTGTTTACTAATGCCCTTCCTCTGCTCCTTTTGTGAGACTCCTTATGAACACATGTATTTTACTTTTCTGCTGCTTTCAACTTGACTGGGTGCTGCTGTTGTACTTGCTTGGTGTTATTGCTTGTTGTATTTGTGGATGTATCTTTTCAAGTTTTAAGGTGACCGTATTTTCTGTTTGTGAGCAGTGTTGTGATTAAGCAACAGAAATATTTTACGTAATCAAATCTTGCAAACAAACCCCACTTTTCTTTTTTAATGTTCTTTTTTAAAGATATAGTATAAAATAATTCAATTATATAATGAACATGTCTGAATTAATCCTAAAGTTTCTATAATTGGTTATTTTGATGAAATCATGTCTGTATGGTAAAAACTGACTGAAATGTGATCCTTCTGAAGCCTGGCTTGATTTATTGATGTATCTTTGTACAGTGGACCCTCTACTTACGGAATTAATCCGCATTGGAACAGTGGCTGCAAGTTGAAAAGTATGTAGGTCGAATCTCCATTGACCTACAATGCATTGAAAACTGATTAATCCCATAACCAGCGGTTTTTATTCTATTTTTGTTCCATTTTGGTTTTTTTCTGGTCTGTAAGTCGATTCTCCGGCTGCAAGTCGAATCTAAATTTTGTGGCCAGAGAAGTCTGTAAGTCGAGCCGCCTGTAAGTCGAGGGTCCACTGTAAAGCTAAAAAAATGGACAGGGTCCAATTCACATCCATTTGCAACAACAATGTACAATATTTGTCTATGCATAGGACCAAGGAGGGCAGCTACATACGGATGAGAGATAATGATGGTGCAGTGGGTTAGGATGTTGGATTGGGATGGACTGAAATACACTGCATTGTGAAACTGACAGGGTAGTCCTGGGTGAGTCATTTCTGTCTCAGCATAACCTACCTTGCAGGATGCTGTAACAGTAACTTAGGGAGATGGAAGGCTACATATTCTACCTTGAGCACCCTTATTCCCACATAAATAAAGCAATCCAAAATGTTTGGTTATGACCAGAGTCACCCTGAGGGCCCTCATCATTTGTATAAGCCATCTCAGTCTGCTGAAGTACAGACACTTCACCTACATAGCTGATATATGTCAATTTGGCTGAAGCCACTGAGATACACCTACTAGCTAAAGGACAGCTTGCCAGGAAGTGAGACAATCTGGTTACAATAGACCTTGGGGGAGAGAGGAAGTATGTTTATTACACCTTCTTTTATCGAAAGCATGGAAGTTGAAGAGAGCTTGAGCAAGAAATCTGCTTCTGATTGTCCCAAAAAGTATCATGGCTGATGATGGCAAAAGTAGCCATCCTGCACATCTGTGATATAACTGAAGTGAGGTAGCTTCCATTGGTGTTATTGAAAAAGATGTAGTCCAGCCTTTCCCACCTTGGTCCCTTCAGGAACTATTAGATTATAGTTCCCATTACACTTAGGCAGCAGGGGCGATGCTAGCTTTGCATAATGGAAAATATGGGCTAGTATGTCTGGAGAACACCAGATGGAGTAAACTGGTTATAATCTATGTGAGAAATTTCCAGGAGTCTCTGCAGTGCTCACTCTTTTTAATCTAACTCAAATATAAAAATATAAAAATATAAAAATATAAAAATGCTACACTTATTGCATACCCATACACAAACACTTAGGTACTAATGCTTTTGTTTGTGTTCAGGGCATTGAGAAATATGTGATTGAAGACACAGAGGAGGCTCGATTAAGTAAAGAAAAGTATCCCAGACCTTTGAATATAATTGAGGGGCCTCTAATGAATGGAATGAAAACAGTTGGTGATCTGTTTGGGGCTGGCAAGATGTTTCTTCCACAGGTAAAGCAAGTGGAGGTTCCTACTAATATGTCACAGATCTTGTTCCCTTACATTGTTACTTCCCCTGAACACATTTAGATCTGGCCATGGTTATGGACAGTCCCTTGGTTGAAAAGCAAAGCACAGTGGTCAGCTGATTGTGAACATATCTGATATGTTCTGGATCAAAAACCTGGACAATGTTTTCTCAGCTCCCAGAAACCTCCAGTTGTAATCCAAGAAAGTAACTTTTCTGGTCTCTGCATATTCCTTTCCATATATGATTTCCTCCTTTTCATGTGCTGGTTTAATTCTGGGCTTAAGTACAAATGCGAGCCACTGCTTTGTTTTCACCAAAGCACTTGCATGTATCTCTGGTGCATCACGGCAGGGCCAACTTAGAGCAGTTAAGGTGCTGTGGGGGAATTCTACTTAATTGCTATTGAGATGGGATAGAGATGGATCTGTAGGCAGATCTTAGTAGGAAGGAGCCACCTGAATATTATACCACAGGGGAGTGTCTGTAGGCTAGTGGAGAATGGAAAAGATTGTATGGATGACACTTAAGTGCTCTTCTAGCATCTGGTAATTAATTTGAAGCAAAAATAGGAAGAGAACTGTCGTCAGTTCTGCCATCCTCAACACCTTGAGACTGTTAAGTTTGGCTACGAATTTTGCAAATTGAGGTTCCAGTTTGCATGGATAGTATCTACCTATAGAGGGTGGGGGAAGGAAGGAGGAGCGCATGCTTACTGAATGCCTGATAGTGCTACGGATCATGCAAGATTTTGTGTGTGGATAATGTTCTTCCATTGGATCTGGCCATTCAGGTGATCAAGTCCGCTCGAGTTATGAAGAAGGCAGTTGGTCATCTCATTCCTTTCATGGAAAAGGAAAGAGAGGAAATGCGTGTATTGTCCGGGAGCACAGAAGTGGAGGTGAGCTTGCATACTTGAAAGAATTTTCAATACTGTTGTTCTAGACTTTTATACAGCATTTTTCTATAGAGGAAGTATTAATGTAATGCCACAACATCAGCATTTGTGAACAGACAAATAGGTCCACTTTTTAAAGCTCTTAATTCAATAAATATGCATTTGATGGTAACGTACAGTGTCAGGCTTTTGACATGTTGCCAGTGAAAGCAGATATATGGTAACAGTGTGCAGTGTTGCAAAGGAAATTGTAATCATGAGCTTGATAATGGATCCTTATGGACAGTCTTCTAATCATTCCATAGTATTTCACCATACTTTGCAGGTGTGTGTGTGTGTGTATGCACATGTACGTGTGTGCAGGACTACCTAGCATAGGATTAGCGATAATCTTTTCCTTCTGTAGATAGAGGCCAGTTTCCCTCCATATGATAGATTACCATGATGTGCTTCCAACATGAATTTGACCAAACTCCAGGAGGCAGTGGGAACACAGGAGGGCCTGGCGTGTTCTGGTCTATGGGGTCACGAAGAGTCGGACACGACTAAACAACTAAACAAAAAACAACAATATGATAGACATGTCTTTGGAGCAACCCCTGACAGTCTCATTTCTTCCCATATCCCTTGTTTTATAAACAGGTTGTTGTTTTTTAAAAAGTAACAAAGTAATAAATCCCTCAGTCTATTAAATCAAAGCAAGAGTTATGGTCACTGAAATCCACAAGCTTGTATAAAGATCCTAATTTGATGTTGAAAATTATTTATTTATTTATTTATTTAATTTCTATGCCACCCAATCTACCCAGAGGTCTCTGGGCGGCTCACAACAATTAAAGTTCAATACAATAAAAAATAAAATGATTAAAATACAATTAAAATAGCCATCATCAGGACCCACAGTTGATGTTATTTCAATTAAAAGCCTTCTGGAACAGGCAGGTTTTGACCTGGCGCTGAAATGTCATCAACGTCGGCGCCAGACAAATCTCAGTCGGGAGGGCATTCCATAGTCTGGGGGCAGCTGCCGAGAAGGCCCTTTGTCTACAAGCCGTCCCTCTTACCTCCTTGAGGGATGGCTCTTTCAAAAGGGCCCCCTGGCTAGATCTTAACTGCCGTGTAGGCTCATATGGAAGGAGGCGGTCCTTCAAGTATCCAGGGCCCAAGCCGTTTAGGGCTTTATACGTCAAAACATGCACTTTGAATTGGGCCGGGGCAGCAAATGGTAACCAATGTAAATTAAACAGGATCGGCTTGATGTGCTCTCTAGCGGCCCCACCACTCACCAGCCGCGCAGCTCGATTCTGGACCAGTTGCAGTCGCCAGACCGTCTTCAAAGGCAGCCCCACGTAGAGATGTTACCAGTGCGTGTGTAACTGTCATGAGACTCCGCTCGTCCAGGTAGGGCCGCAGCTGGTATAATTTAGCAGTTAAGGGTTAGTCAGGAGGGCAGTTATTTCAAAAACTGCTCTACAATTTTCAGAGAAAGATACCTATATTGATTTGGAGTGTGTGACTTGGCAGGTTAAGTCCAAAACCTGGATTAAACAAAACCCCATGGTGTAGTGATTAAACTGCTGAACTGCAGTCAAATCGTCTTCTCATCATCTGCGTCTGATCCCAATGGGTTCAGGTAGCCAGCTCAAAGTTGACTCACCTTCCATCCTCTGACGTCAGTAAAATAAGTCCCAACTCACTGGGGGCAAAATTGTTACTTGCACAGTTATGTTGTAAACTGCCCAGACAGTGCTTTAGCACAACGGGGCAGTATATAGTACGATGAAACAGTGACAACCTTGAGCCTTACCTATAGCACAGCTGCTTTTGCTTTGGAGTGACAGAATTGTGTTTTTTTCCTTGAGTTTGATTTTCAAGAGAAAATAGCATATGACAGCAACATGTGGATCCTTTCCAGGACTGATTAGCCCTTGTTTTATATACCATATGTATGTATCATTGGGAAGCATGTGTCATAAGATAGGAGAGAACCAGAACATCTAGGCTTAAGTAGAATTTGTTCTTATCTAACAAGTGTGAAAATTAAATAACAGCAGTTTTTGTAGATCAAATTACTGTGAATGCTGGGCTGGATCTTGGAACATATTGAGACTTTTATGCTGTTTTTGGTGTTTCTGAAAAGACTGAAATGAGTAAACTGGGAAAAACTGTGGGAAACATTTTAAACAATCAAGTCCTAGCGTAAGAATTGTTGCTGGGGTTTTTTTTAATCTGAAAAAAAAAAACATTGTTGAAAGCAGGGATCTATCTATGAATGTGTGCAGAGTTAGGCCAGTCTAGTTTTACTGCTTGCTGATACATAGCTGTGAGGTGCAGTTTATTCCCCTGGAAATTGTGTTTGCCAGCTAAAAAGGGTAGAGAGAGCGAGAGTGAGATAGAGAATTCTGTTTAAAAAGTATGTTAACAGTAAGACTGCAGTGTGTTGCCCTGACTTAAAATAAGGCACTTATCTGATGTCTTGGATTCTTTCTGGAGAGCCGTTACCTCCAGAGCATTAACCATCATGCGACAATGTCAGCAAATACAAAACGCTGGTTATTTTTCGGAACAAATGGCTGTGCCTTTAGGCCTGCACCAGGATCAGAAAGGAAAGTAGTTTGGTTGTGTTCCTCGTGTAAGAGTGCTCCAAGACATTTAATGCTTGAAATCCTCTTGTTTTTCCGTAGAAGACCTCTTTAAAACCCAATATTGTACATGTTCTAGTCCACATGGCAGGGTTCTCTGGGGTCAGGTGTGTTTTCTTCCCCTTCACTGCTTCTCATTCCTGTTTGTCTCATTCCCTCACCAATCAAGTTAACAATCTCTGCTCAGCCTTTCCATTGTGTGTGTTACTTTCTTTCAGCTTGACTTAAATGAATGTGCCTTTTTGCCCCAGTTGTGAAAGCTTTTCGACATTCATAAATATAATGAAGAATGATACTGGACGACATAGTTCACTTAGCACACTCTTTGAATCACGACATTTTAGGGAGACAGGACAGATTAGTCATTGGACCAAATGCAATCATTTTCATGCATCAAGTTTTTTTTTTTAAATGAAAGCATCATTGTCTGTTAAAGGAAGTTTTGGGCTGAAATTGTATGCCATGATTACAGGGCTGTTGGTTTCAATCCATGCGTGAGCCAGTTATGAATAAAACTGGGAGCCAGAAACGCTAATTTAAAAAATGCCTTGCAGGAGGTTAGGCAGTGGAAAGAGCTGTCCAGCATGCCCAGTTCAAAACTGATGTCCCTGCCTCTTGCTTTCTGCATGACTGGGGCAGGTAATCGTCTTAAACGTGAGGGGATGCCACCATCGTGTGTCACTTTGAGCCCCTCTGTGCCAGGGCCCTGGGGGCCTTTAAGGTCCATGGATTTGTTTGAAAATTCCAAATAGGCCATAGGTGCAACTTACAAAATGGGTTACATATGTGTGACCACCCACAAAATTTGGACATGGTGGACACATGAAAGACCAAGGGAAAAGGAAAAGGCCAACATCTTCTTGCGTAGTTATGTCAGTGTTAAAGTTAATGACAACTTTTGGAGGTGAGTTGCCACAATCATTGTGGCATGCTAAGAAATTATGTGTTTCACCCTAAATCATGCAGTTATGGTTACAGCTTAGACTGCTGTGGACTGAGTGTAACAATCCAGTTCTCTAGACAAAGAAACACAGGCTATATGTGTACCCACACCTCTCCATTTGGCCTTTGTTTGAAACATACGTTTCTGCTTGGTGGGGGAGGGAAGGGTGACACAGAAAACCGGAGTCCTCTGTCTGAGAATTGGGGTGATAATTTAGTAAACTCACTAGGTTTTGCCAATTGGGATCAGATTAAAGCTGAAATAGTATTACCTAGTAGTTGAAGTCCTGCTCTGCTGATGTTGAGAGTCCATGTGTCTTCTTGTTGGGACAAGTTGTCGTATTCCCAAGGATCCTTAATCAGGCTTGGAAGTGGAGAGCTTAAAGCAGGAAGAGACCTAGCCCCCCCTCAAGCTTTCTTGCTAGATTTTAAAGCCTCACAATCTCTTAAACAAAAGTTCTAAAATGGAGACTTCCATGCTGGTCCTTAAAAGGATGTTAGTGTCTCCATCCTGGTATTGCTATTTTGACACACATTAGCTATCAGGGTTCCTCCCCAAGGACTTGCCACTACTGGCTACCCCACCAATATTCTTCCTTGCTATGCTATGGTTTCCCACTTGCACTCTCTGTGAAAGGGGGAGGTGAGCAAACAAAGGGTATTTCTGTTTTGACTGGTGGAATTAGGAACAGTGAGTTTCATGGCCATTGTGGCATGACTCTAATAAGTGTGCCACGTTGGGGGATGCTGCATTTTACCAACCCAGCTCCATGCCCTTCATCTGCTTTAGTTTCTTTTGCCTTTTCCTTCTTGTGCTCATGCTGCAGTTTCACTGAATTCTATACTGTATCTGTCTCACAGGGACTTTTTTCCTAGTTCTAGAAAGGTTTGGTGTTAAGCGCTTCTGGGTACCTCCCCTCCTAGAATTAGCTGACTTAAGGGGACAGTATATGCATATACAGAAATATAACTCTGCTGCTTGATTCATGCAACTTTAAACAGCTAAACATAACAGCTGTTGCAACAAGCTGTTATACATAAAGTTCAAATTGCTCAGATGTGAAATACTCATAAATCATGAAAATTATCTTAATTCTTGCAGGACCCTTATCATGGCACTGTTGTGATAGCTACTGTGAAAGGAGATGTGCATGATATTGGCAAGAACATTGTAGGAGTTGTCCTGGGCTGCAATAATTTCAGGTAATGAGGCTTGTGTGGCAGTTCTGCCCAATTTTAAGCTTCTGTATATAAACGTATTTTTAACTATTTCAGATTTGTATATAAACAGGTATGGGTACAGTGGGGTCTTGACTTGAGAACTTAATCTGTATTGGAAGGCAATTCTCAAGTCAAAAAGTTCTCAGGTCAAATCTGGATTTCCCATAGGAATGCATTGAGAACCATTTGATCCGTATCTGCTCTTTTCCGTCCATAGAAACTAATGGGAAGCTGCTATTCCGCCTTCGACCACTAGAGGGGGATATTTTGTTACTTTTTTTCTTAGGTCAAGAAAGGTTCAGGGAAGGCGGGGAAAATACAGTCCAGGCAGTACAGTACCAGGCAGTCCGAAGACTGTCTCCCAATCCACTCTCTAAACGCTGGGAGGAGTGAGGAAGCAGACAGGCACCCGTTTCACTGGCCAGCAGTTAACTGAAAGTTCAAATTTTGCACTTTCCCTGCCTCCCACGTGGGTTTTTTTCAGTTCTTAACTCAAATCTAAGTATGTAAGTCAAGTCAATATTTTCCTATGAGAGTGGTTCTTAAGTCAAAATGTTCTTAACTCGAGCCGTTCTTAAGTCAAGACCCCACTGTACCTGGGTTGTCCAGTCTTGGGTGCAGTATGGAGGTGACCAGTGGTTGGGTACTTGAATGTGGACTGAAGTAGTCTGGGGGTCTGATTAAAGTTGAGATATATTACTGTTTAGGGATAAAGATCAGAAAAGAGAGATGAGGTAGCAAAGGTTAGAACTCTGCTTGAGAGTTAGTGGTAATCTGTGGAAGAGTTTATGAAGAGAAGTCTGTCTATAGTGGTTAAAGAGTGTGTAAGAAAGACTGTAATATAATTATTTTGAACTTTACTGAAGAAATATACAGTATTTAGATCTAAACATTTAACATTTATGTCCAAGAAGCCACCTTTCCTTTCCTATGTATTATCCCTAAATTAAATCTTGTTTGATTGTTTAAACCAATATGTCCTCATTATTTGTTTTATGCATAACTAAAAATGAAGAATCCAGACTGCTACCTAATGAAAATATACTCTCATCATCTGAAGCTGCACTTTCCAAATAGGAACACAGTTTTTTTACAGAGATTAAGAAACCCTTTCACAGAACACCTGAATTATCTAAAACAGGGGTCTCCAAACGTCTGAGCATGAGGGCCACATCATATGTTTTCAATGTTTTTGAGAGCAGAAGGAATGTGCATGCCTGCCTGCCTGCACCCCCTTGTGTGCATGGACGCATGCACGCCCCCCCCTGCGTGCGTGCACAGGCTGAAGGGAATGGGCCAGATAAAATGGCAAGGATGTGACCCACGGGCCACAATTTGGAGACGCCTGTTCTACAACATCAGCTATAGGCAAATGAGGCTTTGTTGGCATAGTATAAAAAGAGCAAAGCACTTGGAAGGGAGGTTTGGAGGTAGTTGTTTTGGCAGTTTAATGCCTTCCTTGATGGCAATAAGGAATAGGAGGATTTTAGGGATTCAGTGTTGTTAAAAAGGTGCCTGAATGGTGCCTGAACTGCCACAGGAGTGTGTAACACAGCTACCATGAAAATACTTGGACAGAACACTGTCTTTTTGGGCTGAAACATTGCAGCCTGTGCCCTTATGTTACCCTTCATCTTTATATTATGGGATTTGGAGGAGTTTGGTTAAGGTGCTGGTTTTCTATGAGCTAGCTTTACTGGAGAAATAACAAATAATACCCCTAAACAGGTGTGCAGCTTTCTGTTTCAAGTAAGAATGCAAAGAGAAAGACACTCTACCCTCAGCTCCTCATTATCACCTCTGTCATTTTCATCACAGGAAGAGCAACAGTTCAAAGAAAAGAGCCTCTTTTACATGTGGAGCTTCTCCATGTATAGGGGAACCCTGAAAAATCCTCTATGTTTTGCAAAGACTCTCCCCTTCGCTCTGTTACTCTCCACACATGGAGAACAACAACAGAGGAGGCGGGAGTAACGAACTCCCCTCCTTTTGTCTCTACTTAGAGTTATCTATTAACTGAATGGGGCTTAGCCATTTGGCAGGTTGGCAACGGAATAGTGTGGAAAGACCCAGTTTCTGGCTGTTTAGCTCTCTGGGAGGATTAAAGATCTTGTACTGTTCCTTTTGACCTTCCAGCACAATAAGAGATCCACCTAATGTGTTGCAGCAGAGTTGCTTTTAACTGAGCTTCCATGCATGATAATGAGCAAACTACTATTTCCATCCCTCCCAGGGTTATTGATTTGGGAGTCATGACACCATGTGACAAGATACTCAGAACTGCTCTCGAAAACAAAGCAGGTATCAGAATGTTTCATCTGCATTCTTTGCTTTAAACAAAATATGTATTATGATGCTGAAGTCACATCTTTGAAGGATTGTTCTCATTGACCTCAAGAAAATGTAGAATTCTCAGCAACAGATCTTTGGGTTTTTAAAAATTGGACCAGAATTTTGTTGACTAGAACAATGGTAGAAGGACAATTGCACATCCCCCCCCCAAAAAAAATAACACAGACTCTCCTTCCTGTGGCTGATTGTGAAATTAGATGCATGAATGATTGGATGACCCATGTGCCTGAAAGATAGCATGCTTGAGAGGAAAATCCACTGTGCCTTGGCATGGATTGTTTTTGTTAAGGTGTTATTTAAATGCCTTAGGACTTGTCAGGAGAGCAGAGGTATGTTGAGTTTGAATTGAGGATAATGAATGTTGCTATGGACAATAAATACTAGAGATACTAGGTTGAGTCTGAATAATGAGTGTTGCTTTGGATAATAAAAGTTGGTATATGTGTTGGGTTTTTTCTCCCCTTAATGTTGGGATATACAACATCAATTTATATGCAGCAGTATTTGGTGAATCTTCAATCTACTGTTGTGTTTTCTTTACTGAAAATATTTATATACCATCCTTTCCAAATGTTTCCATGGTAGTTTATAAAAGGGAGATCAGAACCAAAATAAGGTAAAGTATAGCACATTTAAAAATACATTAAAAAGTGAGATAATAAAAATGACCTTGCCTCTCACAGAAGTAGCAGCTGTGTTGCTATGAGGGAGACATCTTGCATCTTACATGTCAATGCACATTTCGGAGGGGAATACGATGCCTAGAACGATATCCATACTGGTGTTTGTGCAAACACCTATATCTGCTTGCTGCAACATGAGAGATTATGTGAGCTATAGGGCAACATCTCTGCAGCACATCAGTTTGAGAGAAAGCTGGTCTAACTCAAGGCCCCAGGCACAGCTGGCTGAATGTTTTTGTTCTACTGCCTGAAATGCCACATGGAATTTTGAAGATGGAAATATTTATCTGTATTATATCTATATTTAATAGATATCATTGGCCTGTCTGGTCTCATTACGCCTTCCTTGGATGAGATGATTTTTGTTGCCAAGGAAATGGAGAGATTAGAAATAAAGATCCCTTTGCTTATTGGAGGAGCAACTACGTCCAAGTAAGTTAATTCTTCTTTGCTGTGTCCAAGGGAGAAGTAGATCTAAATACAGAAGATGTTGTGCACCATGGGGAACATAAATACATGGTGTGCAGTATGATTTTTTTAAAAATGCTATTACTGAAATCAGTATTATTTATTCGTTACTGTATGTATCCACTAAGGACGTAAAGTGGTTAAGGCAATATATAATTGCTTACAAGTCCACAAAACGTCTTAAATTCTGTGCCTAAGTTCAACAGGAATCCATAGGCACCATATGGTGTAAAACCTGTAGAAACTGATTCTATTAAGCAAGATATGTGTACTACTTAATAAGTAAATGTGACATATATCATAATAATTTTCTTACAATATTTTCTGGATAAACTAAGAAATGTAAAGATCCCTTTAAAAGAAGTGTATGTAGCATGTGGCAGATAGAGGGGATTTATCCATCCCTATCTGATAAGTCTATATTTGCTATGTTGAAATGAAGGTGTTTTTAAATATATTGCTAATAGGTAAAACTATGAATTTTAAAATAGTTGTAAATGTGCAAGTCAAAATATGTGTCATCACTGTAAAAATAAATTTTGTTGTTGGTGGAGAAAAGTTGTGCTTAAATGTGAATTACAATTTAATTTGAAATTTGTCTCTGAGGAAAATGCCTTACATTTTCCTCCCAGTTACGTTGCAGTCTGGCCAGGCAGCTCATTTGCTTCTGAAAATCATGGTGAAATTTTTTTGCCATCTTGCATTCAGATTTATCTCTGCAGTCATGAAAATGAAATCACAGGGTTTTTTTTTAAAAGCTGGCATAGCCAGGATTCTGAGAAAACATGATAGGCTGCCAGAAAGGAGACATGCAGATCAATACGTAGCTTAGCTCTGCTTTTTATCCCAGCTTAAGGGAATACATTTATGATGCCAAAAATAAGAAGAAAAAGACTGTCAGAAGACATCCTTAGAAGGTGACAGCTGTAGATACTGTAGCTGTAGCATAGTAATGCATAGTTTTTCTTTCCCACTGTTTATTGTATCACTAGCTCATGTGCTGCAGGGAAGGTGATGTTTAGCCCCTACTGAATAAGACCTGAACTGGCAGTGCCGTTACATACAACTAGAGATGTGGAGAGTTTATGCTGAATTACTCATTAACAGCGAGACACAAGGTATCTCAATATGATGAAACAGCTTGTTGAGAAACTTGCTGACCCTTAAAAGATCTGTTTCATTCAGCATGAGAATGAGATAAGGGACCTTTTTTCCCTTTGAAATTTCTGCAGTTTGCACAAAATATCTTTATACAAAGCTAGTGTGTTTTCACTTTGTGAAGTCAAGCATAAGTATATGACAAGCATCGTTGATGGATAAGGAAGATACATATATTTCACCAGATGCTTTTGATTTTTAAAAGTCCATGCAACAAAGAAGCAATCATTTGTAGTGTTTTGAAATTTGTACAGTTTGCATGAAGTAAGAACCTCCATTGATACGGGCAGAAAAAAAAATCTCAGTGTTTTGCAGTTGAGGAGAAAAATGTGGTTTCTTGCTCTGGCACACAAGAATGGGATGAACCGATATTTACCTCTTAAGGCCCAAATATGCAAAAAAAAGAAAAAAAAGAAAAAAAGAAAAGAAAGAAAAGAAAAGAAAAAGAAAAAAGGAAGTGCTTTGGTACAAATACCAGTTTCACCTGCAGCACATACTTCTTAAAAAAGGACTTCAAAGTCAACTTCTAAAGTGCTCCATCAAAAGTGAAAAATTAATATATTTGCTAATTTTCAGGAATAAGGGATAGATAAATAGCAAGAGAGACAGGAGGACCTGAGAGAACATACTTTCTTGAATCCTGACATATAGTTATGTGACTCCTTGGAAACCATAGGGCATTTGCAGTATTGCAAATTAGTGTGGAATTTGTTGCTCTGCACCTTCATGACTCGCAGATGGACTAAAATGTCCATGAAAAGGAAAATGAGCACACAGAATTGTATGTAATTTATTTTATGGCTTTCCTGCTGGTGCATAATTTTTTTTTTGTACATAAGCTACTTGATGACATGACAATTTGTTCTGTATTATTCTTTTCCTCTGTTTTCTTTTTTGCCATTTCAGAACTCATACAGCTGTAAAAATTGCTCCCCAATACAGCGCACCTGTTATTCATGTTCTAGATGCCTCCAAGTCTGTGGTGGTGGTAAGTTGGGGAAAATATTACCAATCAAACCGTTAGACTAAGTCCATTGTTAGTTTACTCAATTCAGCATCCTTGTCCAATCAACCCAATTAATATGCTTCAGGACTTTTAGCAACATTGTGGATTAATAAATGAGACATTTATCTTTATCATCATTTTAGTGCATGAGGCAGAGGTTTTAGGTGGAAGTCTAAGCTCTCTTATATAGCCTATTTAAGGAGGGTGAAGGAATCCCGTCTGTAAATATATGCATTCCTTCATTTATTTAAAAAATGGTTGCTGCTTGTTCCCCCAGCGAAAAGGGATTGCTCAAAGCCTATATTAAAAATGAGGAATTACAATGATCATTTAAAAAAACATGTGCAGGAACTAACAATGGTTTTTCCTCTTAACTGTGCTGTGTTCATTGGGTGTGAATTATTATCAATAATAATAATCATAATCTTAGAACTGCAGAGCTGGAAGGAGCCCTGTGGATCACCAAGTCCAGTTCGTGTCAAGGGGGCAGAATGGGGAATTGAACTCTAACCTCTGGCTCTGCGACCAGATGCCTAAACTACTGTTATCCAGCAGTTCATCATCATCATCTTAAAACTGCAGAGCTGGAAGGGACCCTATGGATCATTGAGTCAAGGAGGCTTAGTGAGGAATTGAACTCCCAGCCCCTGGCTCCGCAGCCAGATGCCTAAATCATCTATGAGTCCTTGTTTTGTCCCAACTGTGAAAGGCTAAAATGTTGTTGTTGTTGTTGTTGTTGTTCATCAATGTCTTAGTGCGTTATTATTATGCAGTCATTATGCCTGTTTCTCTGGAATGGAACATGGACTCCAGTCCTTCCTGGAGGAAACAACTCAGAAGGTGGCCCTGGGGGATTTCTCCGGGGTCCTTCCAGATTATGTTTAATCTCTTACATTATTTAACATCTTCATGAAACATCTGGGAGAGGCTGTGCAGAGTTTGAGGGTTTGGTGTCAGCAATATGCCAAAGACACCCAACTCTGCCTCTCTTGCCATCTAAATCCAAGAAAGTTCTTTCAGCTCTAGCTCTGTGCCTGGCATTGGTGATGAACTGGATGAGGGCGAATTAACTGAAACATAATCCAGACAGGACAGACATGGTACTGGTCAGTCAAAAGGCAGATCAAGGAATAGGGATGAAGTCTGTGCTGGATAGGGTTATGCTCCCTCTTAAAACTCAGGTGTGCAGCTTGGAGGTGCTTTTGGATTCATCTCTGAGCCTGGATGCCCAGGTTTTGGCATCGGCCAGAAGTGCTTTTGCACACTTCAAACTAGTGTAGCAGCTGTGTTTGTTCTCAGAGAGATCAGGTCTGGCCACGGTGACATATGCCTTAGTTACATCCCGGCAGGATTATTGTAACACACTCTATGTGGGGCTATCTCTGGAAAGTGTCCAGAGCCTTTGGTGGGTCCAAAATGTGGTAACTGGATTGCTGTTTGGGGCTAGTTACAGGGTTCACATAACACCCCCCCCCATTACAGCAGCTCCAGTAGCTGCCAATCCGTTCCTGGGCAAAGTGCTGGTTCTAACCTGTAAAGCCCTAAATAGCTTGGGCATAAACTATCTCAAGGTCTGTGTCTGTCCTGCTCGGGTGTTAAGATAAGCAGGAGAGGCTATTCCTTGGTCTCGCTACCTTTACAGGTGTGTTTGGTGGGTACATGGGAGAGGGCCTTCTCTGTGGCTGCTTACAGGCTTTGGAACCTTCCCACTGGAGACCAGACTGGCCCCATCTTTGCTATCCTTCTGCAAGCGATTGAAGAACTTTCTCTTCAGGCAAACTTTCCCTCAGTGATTGGCTGCCTGAGTGGGGTTTTTTAATGGACTCCTGTGCCTTACTGTTTTGAATGTGTTGTTGGAATTTCTTTTGTTTACCATTTTTTGAGTGATACTTGTTTTCTCCTTTTCAGTGTGTATATACTTATTGCTTTTAGCTTAAAATGTTGTCTTTCAATGATGTAAGCTGCTTTGAGTCCTTTTACAGGAAAAAGATGGGGTAAATTTTTATAACTAACTAATAAATAAATAAATTTTATCCAGCTTATTTAAAATCTGCACAGTGTGATATCAGTAACTGAAAGAGAACAGGTGTTATTTTCTGGAACTGCACTCATCTGGATAACTCTTGCCTATAATCGTTGATGTGAAAAAAATATCCCAAGACACCCTTGAGCTATATTAACTGCTAATCTTTTATCAATAGTATAAAATATCTCTTAATTTTTTTGCTAATGGTATATTAGTGTATATTAATTGCACATCAAAATGTGTTAATTTAGCTGTGAAATGGAAACTATTATGAAAATTATCTTAGTTTGTAAAGACATCTGTGTGTCATACTAAGCATTTCTGTTTGAGGTGATGCTTAAGGCAGTTATGAGCTTAATTAAATTTGACTAGAACAGTTTCTTTAATGAATAATGGAACTTTCAGATATGACTTGTTCAGCTCATGCCTTTTCAGATTGTTATCTTGTACAGATGAGAAGTGCAAGTCCACTGAGTCATGTCACCCAGAATTAAAATGGCTTCTACTATTCCTGTATATTGTAAATAATAATGTTGTGAGATCAAGTCATTTCCATCTTATGGTGACACTCATTGCATTTTCTCAGTATAAAGTAATCAGAAGTGATTTGCCAGTTCCTCCTTCTGGTGGTGTTCTGGGACTGTGCAGCTTGCTTAAGGGCACAGAGGTGGCAGGGCACATAACTCCATCAGTTACACTGCTCCAGGTGATCTTGGCTATTCAGCAGACATACTGGGAGTTCAAACTCTTGGCTGATGGCTCTGCAGTGAGGTTAACCAACCAGCCATTTATTCCTCTGTTCATTACACCAGCTTTTCAGTTTGTGCTGTACATGATGTAAAAGGAAATACAGATGCTTCTTCCTTCAACAATTAACTGAAGTTTCTTACATGAATGAAACTGAGAAATCTAAAGCCTTCAGCACTTTTGAAAGTGACAACAGGACCCCACTTAACCATATATAAATTTTTAAACTAGCTAGCCTATCTAGTGGCATGTTTTCTGCCTTTAATTACTGTAGTTTTTAGAGGAAAACTTGAAGAAAAACCATTCCCTATCCCTTCTTCTCATTCCAAGCCAAATATCATTACTTATTTGCTGAAATCCTGTTGCTAAGTGTAGTTCGTTGCACTAGAACAGGCCCATTGAATCAGTGGGGATTTGGTTAGTCACCACCTCTGTATGCTTCATTGATTTGAATGGACCTACTCTAGTTCTGACTTACTACATTAAAGGAAGTCGCAACTAGAGCAGGCCCATTGAAATCAATGGAACATACAGAGGAGTTGACTGACCAAATTCCCAGTCAATCTACCATTATTGCAACTTGCTAAGCAACAGGATTTCAGCCATTATCTGTTCATCTCTGAAATTTGCATGTGAAGTGTTCAATAATCTACTTTGGGGTTGAATAATCTTTGTAGAAAAAGATGGAGAGATACCATATTGAGAAACATTAGTCTCCCCAACAATATAGTTTAATCTTTAATGTTTTTTAAAAAGTTACTACAAGTATTCTTACAGAGTTTATGACTTCCTGGGATAATTTAAGTACTTAACAAAAAGAAGTGGAAGATATTAGATTGCATGCATCAACCTCAAGTTTAATTGGCATTCTGTGTTTGTTGCAGTGCTCTCAGCTTTTAGATGATAATTTAAGGGATGATTTCATTGAAGAAATACAAGAGGAGTATGAGGACATTAGACAGGACCATTATGACTCTCTCAAGGTAAATAGAACTAAGCCAAGTGTATTTATTGATCATTTATTGTTACTAGCGCTATTGTCATGCATACTTATTGAACCAGCTGACAGAGCTATCTACTGAAAACTCAACCTTGGTGTGTTTTTCCACACAGGAAAGGAGATATTTGTCACTAGAGCAAGCAAGGAGGAAGGCTTTCTTTTATGATTGGATGGCTGACTCTAAACCAGGTTTGTATGTATTTTAATAATTGATTTTTTGCTTTTTTGAGTCACAGATGTATTTCCAGATGTTTTCATTAATTTTACATAGTTTTCTTCCAGTTTCCTAACTATTGTGGGGTACAGTAAAACACATATAGGTGGGCATTGCTTTGCATAGCAACAGGGATGATGTTAGCAGTGGCATATTACTGTTGACTGAAGGCTCTTTTTTGGTGATTTTGGGGGTGTTTGGAACTTTGTTGCACTGTGTATGCGTTTCATGCACTCCAAAATTGCCTCTAATCAGCAGTGTTTTCCTCCTGCTGCTAACATCATCCCCATTGCACATGCAGAGCCATGCAACAGGATTTCAGACGCTGTCAGTCAAAATTTCATTTTGCAAAAGAAAGCCCTGGTACTTGTATGCTGTTCTTGGGACTGTTTGGAGAGTCTCATCTGTCTTCTTATGGTGGCATCATAGGGAATCACTTGGTGACCCTGAGTTGGTTCTCAAGAATTACAGTGGTGCCTCGCTTAACGATTGCCTCGTTTAGCGATGAATTTGCATAACGATGTGTTTTTAGAAAATAATATGCATCGCATAACGATGTTTCCTATGGGCGATTTTCGCTTAGCGAAGTTTGGGACCATGCTTTGCATAACGAATGCGATTTTAGGTCCCCTGCTTCACTTAACAATGTTTTTTTTTTCAATTAAAAAAGTGTCTTAGAAGGGTCAAAAACGGTTCTAAATGCTTGGATTCGTTAGAGGACCCCTTAAGTCATGTGCAAACCTGATTTGGCTTTGATCTGACTTTTCGTTAATTTTTTGTGAATTTTTTTTTTTGCCCATAAGAACCAATGGACCTGTCAAAATCTGACAGCTCCATGCTTTCCTATGGGGGAGAAAACAATTTACAAAAAATTAACGAAAGTTCAGATCAAAGCCAAATCAGGTTTGCACACGACTTAAGGGGTCCTCTAACGAATCCAAGCATTTAGAACCGTTTTTGACCCTTCTAAGACACTTTTTAAATTGAAAACAAAAAAAACGTTAAGCGAAGCAGGGGACCTAAAACCAAAAACGTTAAGCGAAGCATGGTCCCAAAAACGCTATGCGAAAATCGCCCATAGGGAAAAACGTTATACGAAGCACAATCTGCCTCTGAAAAAATAAACGTTAAGCGAAAAAAACGTTAAACGAAGCAAACGTTAAGCGAGGCACCACTGTAGTCAGCTTCAATACATTCCAATGGAGGATACATTGTTTCGCTTAGCGATGTTTCCTATGGGTTTTTTCGCTTAACGATGGCAATCCGTTCCAATTGGAACGGATTAACCGGTTTCCAATGCATTCCTATGGGAAATGGTGTTTCGCATAGCGATGGTTTCACATAGCGATGTTTTTTTTTGGAACCAATTAACATCGCTATGCGAGGCACCACTGTACTTGGTTCTCTAGTTGCTTCACCTAATGCACTGGGACTAAATTGATCCTAAGATACACAGGCCCAAACTCAGTGAATTTAAAAAAACCACACATATGGAAGGGCAATAACTTAGTAGCTTTTCCCCTTCTGTGTACCCCTCATTCTCACATGCCTCAGTGGCCTTGGCTGCCAGACGGGCAGTATACAAATCAAATAAATAAAATAAATTTTACAACCAGTGTGAGATTGGGCACTATTAAAAACAGAAACTGGCTGTGTTATAACTTGAACCCACCTGCTATTCCATGCACTCTTTTTCCTTATTCTCTCAAAGAGGCAGACTTTTCTAGGCTAGGCTAACGTAGCTGAATAAAAATGTAGTGTAAAGTGGCTGTAGTAAGATTCAGCAACACAATAAGAGCATAATGAAATGGATTCTGCTGTTTAGCAAAGATGAATGTAGAATGCAGAGTATGTTCTCAGTTCCAAAACTTGCACATGTTGTTTTTACAGTGAAACCACAATTCCTTGGCACCAGAATCTTTGAAGATTATGACTTGCAGAAGCTAATAGAATACATTGACTGGAAGCCCTTTTTTGATGTCTGGCAGCTTAGAGGCAAATACCCCAATCGGGGTTTTCCTAAAATCTTCAATGATAAAACAGTGGGTGAGTATCATCCTCTGGTACAGAATCTCAGAAGTGGATTAAATATCATTTTAAAGTATCATCCGATGTTGTAAATATGCACACAAGAGAACCAGTGATGAATAGGGAAACAGCCTTTAATAAGCTAGAGTTTTGTCAGCCATGTTAACATTCAGTAAAGTACAGATGCAATGGGAAAAGAGTGGGAATTAGTGAAGCATCCGTTGAAAACTGTCCACTAGCAAACCGAAGTGAAGAATAAGTAATTAATCCACTTGTTCATTTAGACTGAACATGACAGACACTTCTTCCAAGCAGCATGGTATTTTGAAAGGCTTGTGAACAGCCACATAGCAAGTCTAGATTTTTGTTTTCTCCCCATCGCCTTTCCCATTTCTAGGCCATATACTATTAGCATGGCTACTTAAATGTAGGAAAGCATGTATGAAAAGTTATGATGCTGCCACAACCTCTTAACTGCAGGCACATTGTGACTTGATTCCCATTCTGTGGTAGTGGAAATAAAGGGAGTGAACTTAAGCATCTAGTTGTAACAGAAAAAAGGAAAATAAAAGCTGATAACTGTTCTAATGTGTTTTTACTGAATTTTTTCTCCTATTTTAGGAGAAGAGGCCAAAAAAGTCTATAGTGAAGCTCAGAACATGCTGAAAACATTGGTTGCAGAAAAGAAACTTAAAGCAAAAGGTCTGGTTGGATTTTGGCCAGCTCAGAGTGTTCAAGATGACATATATTTATATGCCACCACCAGTGACGTGAAATGTTCAGAACCAATAGCAAAGTTCTATGGCTTAAGGCAGCAGGTAAGATGTAAGCCTTTTTTAAAATGATGGAACATGTTTATGTGGCCTTGTGAGCTCACTAACTTTGTGACAACATGTATACAATGAAGAAAACTCCCTTTCGTTTTCCACTGCAATTTTTCTGATTTCATTAAAAACAGAACACCTAACGAAAACTACAGACATTACTTTGCAGTGTTTGAGAAGTGGAAGCTTCATTTCTTCGTATATTTTATCAGCCAGAAAGCATAGTTTTCCATTTGGAACACTTGCGGAGCTTCTCTGGTGAACACTTTGCAAACACCTCTTTCAGGCAATTGTTTTATCTCAGTTAAAAATATTGGTGCTTACATTTGAAGATCTAGGCAGATCATGACTTTTGGACTGTCTTCTTTTTTATTAGTCTGCCATCAGAGACAAGGTGGATGGCAACCAGAGAGAGTATCATCTTTGGTACTGGCGTATCACCCCGTGGGGGTCTCTGGGTGCAGAACTTCACCTGGCATTTGCTTTGCAATCATTTCAGCACCAGAAAGATCTTTTTGTCCCCCCATGCTTTTAGACAATGGTTAATTTTAAAGCACATTTATTTTAAACGGATGTAAATTTTTACTGAACAGTTTTTATGTTGTACTATTGTTTTGTTGTTTTATTTCTATTTCTATTTCTATTTTTAAAGTCTCCCTAGAAATGCTAATAGGCTATAAGTGGACAAGATGCAAATAATTTTTACTGAACTGTCTTTATGTTGGGCTATTGCTTTGTTGTTTTTATTATTTTTATTTTTATTTTTAATCCTCCCTGGAAATGCAAGCAGGGCATCAGTGAACAGGATATAAATAATAAAAGTAATAAAAAATAATGGCCAGTATCCTGTTCAGTCTTGATGCACTCATACACCATTAGCTTCAATCTTATTACTGGGGGCTTCTGCCTGCAAATTATGTGTTCTACCTCTGAGCCTGGCCTTCCTTCTCAGGGACCAAAGTCCTAAGACTCCTAGGTAAAGCTCAGTATTAACAGCAGATGGCTTGCTAAGACTAAATACTGTAAAATTGAAGGTGGCAACATTTTTGCAGTAAATAGGGACATTCTAACAAAGGTAATATTGAGCAATGGGGGGGGGAGTTCAGTATTTTGTTTTGTTTCAGCAAAACAGTATCCCTCAACTGGATTACGCACTGAACCACAAACCAGACCAATTTATTGTTTTTTGCGGTTCATAATTCGGTTCGTGCCCATCTCTACTTATGGTATTATGCTGAAAAAAGTCTAACTGGCAGAGGTCAGTTGGCTCTCTGTAGAACAATGGTTCCAAGTCTTGGGGCTCCTGATGGTCTTACTTAGAGTATAATTCGCTACATCCTTGAGAAATGCCATAGACTCTTTGCAAACAAAGTCTTCTGGCTCTTATAGTCCAAAGCATTTAAAGGGCAAAGTCTGGGCTGCCTAATGTAAATCTAGTTTGAGAAGGGGCAGAATTGATAGACCTACGTATGCCCTCTGGAGAGAGTCATTTCATAACTCATATTTTTAATGATTAAAACTACTGTTAACATTAATCGGGATGTGGTGGCGCTGCGGGCTAAACTGCAGAAGCCTGTGCTGCAGGGTCAGAAGACCAAGCAGTCGTAAGATCGAATCCACACGATGGAGTGAGCGTCCGTCGCTTGTCCCAGCTCCCGCCAACCTAGCGGTTCGAAAGCATGCAAATGCAAGTAGATAAATAGGGACCACCTCGGTGGGAAGGTAACAGCGTTCCGTGTCTTAGTCGCCCTGGCCATGTGACCACGGAAGATTGTCTTCGGACAAAAACGCTGGCTCTATGGCTTGGAAACGGGGATGAGCACCACCCCCTAGAGTCGAACACGGCTGGACAAAAATTGTCAAGGGGAACCTTTACCTTTACCTTTACTGTTAACATTTCTTTTGAAATATTGTTTCTTGTGAAATATTGTGGTTAGACTTTAAGAGACTTTTTTTGGTGTGGTAAAAAAAAAGAATTTAACAAACCAAAAAAAAAGAAATTTAACAATAATGTGCTATTTGTAGCACTTTGCATCCAGGCTCTGAGACAGAGCAGAGAAGGTCCTGTGCCTGAAGACATAGTGATCTTATCACCAGTGGTAAACTGCAGAACTAGGTGGATCAGTCGTCTTCCTCAATGTAATGCATCTTCATGTGTCCATAAAAAGTTCATTCAGTAGACTGAATGATGCTAGGGAATGAATCCAACTATTAGTCCCCCCAGCACAATAGGCCTATGGAATAAATGGAACTTACAACAAGGCTGAATTTAAAAATTCTATTCATTTTATAATGGGTCTGTTCTCGTATGGGCCAGCAGTAGTAGGATTTGGTCCTAGATTCCCTTTGAGTTTTAAGAGGCAAGATGTTTTGCTGAAGCCATTGTCTAAGAAGAATCACAAAATATGAATATGAAACCTTGCTGGTTAAGAAGCCAGAGAAAAGTTTTTATGTGGTGTGCCAGTTGTTACAACTTTCAGATAATAAAGCTCCATATTAAATACATAAATGGTGGATGAGTTTAAAGAGCAATTAACCTCTGGACATTTGGACCTACATCTGGATGAAAATTACTATTTTGTATTTTATTATAGAAGAATTATTTTAAAACATTGCCACAGTAATATCTTATAACCTGTAAATTAGAGATAATTTATGGGAGTAGTACAGCTCATGGTTAGGAATCCATTCCAGAAAGCAAAGGCTTTTTACAGTGTTGCTGGAGAGGTGCTGTAACAAATGGATTTTGAATTTTTTTTAAATGGCCTCCTAAAACATGTTGAAGGTTGATTGTATTTTAATTCCAAGAATCTACTTGCAAACATATTTGAAAGTTGAAGTAACAACAGATACATAAATGTTCCTCTTTTGTGTGATGTTAATAGCAAGATACATGTGTGCAAAATACTGGGGTGTGTGTGTAACAAGTCTTCAAAGATCTATTTGGGTATTCAGATAGGTAACACAAGAGCTCCTGCCCTATTCCCCTTCTCTTGTCACTTGGCTCACAAGTTTGAAGAAGAAATTTTTGTCTTCATGGAGGCTCCAAGCAAGCCAGAACCCAGATTTTTTAAATTTATTTTTTGTCTATTTTAGCATTTTTGCTTGCGCTGAGAGTTTTCATTTGGAATTGTCAGTTGTATGAACTAACCATAGAGGTGAGAGTCCTCCTTTTTCACCTGTTCATTTATCTGATTTTAAGAACATCTGAACAGAGTTTTTGTTTCAGGGGAAGTGTACAGTATATCAAATCTGGCAATCCTGAGAAGTTTGACAACTTAATTTACTAGCCCTGCTCACTAGGGAATTGATTCATGAGAGCATCCTGTATTTAGGTATGCTGCTGGCTCTTATCCCTCTAAGGTCTGTTATACACCTCTATATAGTCTACTTAGGAAGAGACTGTATGTGAGCATCTTCAGACAGACTGTGCCTGTCTGAGGACCTACAGAAGCAAGGCCAGCAGTGAAGGGCTCAGGCTCAGTGACATGGTCCTGTTCCCTGTCGCCTTGTTATGCTTCTTTTATATGACTTGCATGTGGACGCAGTGTGTGTGTGCACATGCATTTGAGTAAGATGCAAGGAAGTAAAAAAGTTGGTTAATTTGCAGACTGAGAGTCTTTTGAACAGAGTTCTAAGCTAAATATTATGACAGGCAATTCCCTCCCTCTCCATATCAGGTTGAGCATAATGTGGTTCTTGACGTCATATTGCAGCTCACAACATTTCTCAGTGTTGACTGTTGGGATTCCTGGCAGTTTGAAACAAACAGTAGTCAAAGGGCTCCTCTCTGCCAGTCCCTTCCCAATACTGTATAATCATTAACACCTTTTGGACACATTTGACCCAGGATGTTGGTCCTCCCTCCCTCCCTCCTGTTTGCAAGTGAAAGAAGACTTAATGAAATTTATGAAAATAGTTATTTAGTATCAATTTATAGATGGCTTTCTTGTTTTGAATTTTAGCTATTGTACGTAAAAATTAGGGTAAAGCTGCTTTACTGGTTGACTAGCATATGATTGATGAAGAGATGTAATCTAATCATTAGCTGCTGTATTTTGTACATCTTATTTTGCAAAGAGGAAGAAAGGAGGCAGGCTAAGAAACATCGAATGTTCCGGGGTACACCAGTTTCACCGAGACAACAATATTGATCTCTGTATACTAGGGAGGAGGAAAATGTATTGGCATGTAGTTGGTTCCAATGTGTTATTCCTTTTCCTCCCTAGTTTCTTCTAAGAACTGCTCTGTGTCTTTTTATAGCATAGTTCTACGCATTTGTACTTGGAAATATAGGTGCTGTTCACATTTAGGTGTTTATAGGATGGCTGTGTTAGAATGTGATGGTTCTCATTGTAGTTTTAACTGCCGATCCTGATAGAAAGGACAGGAAACCAATTAACTAGCTTGAAATTAAGCAATCTAATAGAAAATCTTGTTTCTTAATTCTGATTAAGTGAGAAAGCATAATGTAATTGGTCTGAATACATTAAAATTGCTGTCCTTCCTAGCACTGAAAAATGCCTGGTCCCTGAAACAGGTACTTTATATTTTGAACATTTGATCAAATACATTGCATTGACTGGAAAGCTGTGGTTCTAATTTACACTAAATCCAATTCAATAATATTTATAAATATAATGTTGTGCTCCATTTATTCTTGTAGGCTGAGAAAGACTCTGCTTCCACAGACCCCTATTACTGCTTGTCTGACTTTATATCCCCTTTGGAATCTGGAATTCCCGACTATTTGGGTCTGTTTGCTGTGGCATGCTTTGGAGTAGATGAATTGTGCAAGGAGTATGAGAAACAGTCTGATGACTACAATATCATAATGGTAAAAGCCTTGGGAGACCGGTTAGCAGAGGTAATGAGTTCCATTATTAGCAAGTAGCCAAGTTTTCTATATCTTCTTGAGTTACTGTCAAATTAATTGCAAGGTGGGTTCAGAAGTTAAGTTAAATAATGGGAACACACATACACGGATAACATTAGAAAAGTTACTTTCTTGCAATACAGTCTCTAGAGATGTGCCATTCCACCTTTTTTGTACTCCAACTCCTGGAATTTTAATTAATTCCCCAGACATGTGAGTTCCACTCAATAGATGGATACCTACAGACACCCATGTTTTGTTTGCCTGGACCAGCGCTTATCTCCAAGGCTGCATGGCTGTCTCAGGCCTTTCTTATTGTGGTTAATGTAGAAAAAAGGAAGCTCCCATAGTGCTACCTGGGAGTTTTGGTCTCTCTGCCATTTAGGTTCTATAGAAGGTGCTTCCCAAAGAACTGCCAGCCCCAAGAGGCACCCAGCAAATTCATTTTTTGTACATGATCAACAGGAGGGGAAGAAAACAAGGCCCGAGACTTTGAAAGAGAAAACAAGGCTGTTTTCTCTTTCAAGGTTTCCAGTTTTACTAGTCCTTTTGTCAGAGTTTAATAATCTGAGTTAGCTTTTCCATAATTGTGTGACACAAACATGCAAAAGTTTGTGTAGTACTACAGAAATTGTGCTTTTTAATTGTTTGAATATGTTTTGACCTGGTCATGGCTTACAGGGGGTATAGAAATCATGATCTTGGGGGAGGGAGGGGGTTCTGTGCACATGTATTTCCACTGTGGCAATCCCCTCTGAAGCCCCTATTCCCTCAGGTCTTCACGAGGTTCTCGCTCTTCTTCTTTCTTCGCTGCCACCATGTATTGCTCCTTCAATACCATTCAATCAAGGAGACACGTGTGCTTTTAAAACTTAAGTTATTTATTAGATCAGGGAAGTTCATATAGGATTATTACTCAATAGGTAAATCACAGGTTGCTAATCACTGGTGTCTAAGTCAATTCTACTTTAACTTTAAAACTCTATTAACTCTCTGTCCCATTTAGCGTTCTCATAGACCTCTAACTCTCTCTAAGTTCACTCTTAAGTTTCACACTGTCTCTCACTCACAGAATCTCCCTCATACTCCAAACATCAACCTTTTTATCCAGCCCTCTCCCCCCTTGGCTCCACCTTCTGTCCTCTCATTGGATCCTACTCCAGTGTTCAGCGGTGACGGACAGGTGAGGGCAGGGCTGTTCGCTACATCCACAAACATGTATACAGAAACGAGGAGGTTTCTTCAGGGCTGTTATCTGATAGGTACTAAAGTAATAAAGTGTAAAGGATTGAATCCAGCGGTCCCCAAAGGGAGGGACTTTGATTCAGCAGAGTTTTCCCTCAGCATGTGGGGTCTTTTAGAACACCACGCACTGGAAGTGCCAGAGGAGTCAATGAAAATGTCACCCCTCCTGTTCTGCTGACGGCACCCTCTGCTGAATCAGGGAGACTTCAGTCAGCAGAAGGGGACCGTTGGCTGCAAACCATGCAGTCTGATTTCATGTAAACACAGGTAAAGCAAATTGTCAGTTAAATCATTGATTTCAGCCATGCCAAGAGTGAAACTTGCTTTCCTTTGTTCCAAGGCATTTGCAGAGGAGCTTCATGAAAGGGTCCGCAAAGAATTCTGGGCCTACTGTGAAAATGAAGAGCTGGAATTTTCAGACCTGCGGAAGATTAGATACGCTGGCATTCGCCCAGCTCCCGGGTACCCCTCTCAGCCGGACCACACTGAAAAAGTCACAATGTGGAAGCTTGCTAACATTGAGGAAGTGACAGGTACTGAAGGTTTGGCTATAGAAAGCTTTATTTAAATTGCTTTTGATAAACAGATTATCTTTCATTACAGTATTTCCATTCTCTTACTTTTTCAGCTTTGGTTGAAATACTGATTAATATTGAACATTCCCTTCATTTCACTACAATCCTTTTAAGAATGCTTATTTTATGGGAGTAAAGAGCAGATGGGCTGTCCTTCTGCAAAGCTTGTTTGTAGAATAGTATAAGAATTGGACTTCTCTCTCGTAACTACCAAAGGTTGAAAGAGCATTTTCCACAGGAGCATTTGAGATGATTGGCTCCTTAAAGTGAAGAAATAATGTTTTTGGTCTGCAGAAAGAGCCTTCAGTTCACAGGCAAATCAATATAAACAGCAAGGCAAGACTACTTTGGGTGCACAGTGACCTAATTTGTAACACCACAAATCTTGCATTTAACTCACTCATGAAATGTTACATGTATATAATAGATAGCACAGTAAAGCAAAATTATATAAGAATGTTATAGTGTTACAAATTAAGTTACATTGCAGTGTACCATCTTATGTACTGGGTTTCATGGGGTTTTCCTTTTCCATTGAAGGATATACCAGACAGAAGTGAAATATTGTGTAACAAGATCTTGAAACCAACTGTTTCACGTTGATTTTACAGACGTTTTGGCTAAAGTCCAAATGCCGTACCTAACCATTAGAATGCCTCATCTGAATTAAAACCTTAAAACTTGAGACTAGAGACTGAAAAACCATTAAGCAAATAAGCCAACATAAAGGACTGTTTCTCAAGTACAATTATTCAACATAATTCAATTAAGGAGGACAGAAGTAGTAATCGGAAATTATTCCTCCTACCCATCTTGAGGCCATATGATTAAAAAACTGTTCAAGAGTTTCAGGGTGTTAAAAGTTAACATACAGTAGGTTTCAGTATGGATCAGGGCAATAACACAGTGGATCCTTACATTATCTCAACAGTAACACTGCTCTTCTGCATGTGAGTAACATGACTGCCAAATTAGACATTACAGCATGACTGCTGCAGTGTCTGCCCATATCATGCATTACTCTCCGCCCCTCTTGGCATAACCGAGATGAAGAAATCCGTTCTTTTAGGCCCATTGCCTTCCATTTATCAGACCACAGAAAGGTGAGCATTTATTTTCCCCATGTTGCAAGATATTCCTTAATACATGTGCTTTTATGTCTGTCTTTCCTCAGTAATACTCTTTTTTTACACAATTCTTAAGCAGAAAACTCCATGACAGAATTCAGAGAAGAGTGTCCTGTTGAAAGGAAAATATCTCCCGCTGACCTTTGAGTTTGGGATGTGAAAGTTAGGGGCACTTACTTAGAAGTACAGATGAAACAAAGGCATCCACATCCCCAGTTTATGTTTGTGGGCGAGAAGAGCTTTGTAGAATTGCCTGCCTCTAAATTCAGGGCTTTTCATGGTTTCCCAACAGCAAATAAAAAAGAAGAATTCATTCATAGTATTTATATCCTGACTTTCTCCCCATAGGGGATCCAAGACTTGTGTTACTGCTGCTGAGCCACTTTCATGCTACCAGAGTACCATATACTCATTTCTTTATTAATGGAGCACTTGCTCTTTAATGCAGGAATCAGTTACACTTTCACTACCTTGGTAATTCTCAAAACAGTGGTAAGGAAGTCTCTTGTTATTAGATCCATAGTGGGCAGTGAAGGTGAAGGTTGGAGGCTCAGGCAGTCAAGAGACATTGGCATTTGGGGCCCAGCCTGCTTGCTTCCTGTTCTGTGTCATTCCTTTCCCAGTCCTGCTCACTAACAAATATTAGATCTGGATTTTAGCCTCTCTGTCACCTGCCACTGTTAAATGAACTGGGTAGCTTAGGATCATGTATAAGGCACATTGAGTGGGATTCTGACAACTTTATAATGGCTTCACCATTTTTGTCATTGCATTCATAGTTCCACATGTTGATATGGCTGTTGAAATCACCAACTACAAAATTAATGTTTTGTTTTTTCCGTATTATTTATTTATTTATTAGATGGCTTCTTAAAGTAGAATGGTGTATAAGGTGGTTTATGTGGATGTTACTATACACACAGCCACCTGTCAAGGTTTCTCTTTAATAAAATCTGTTGAGTGGACTACAATACCTGGTCTTAGAAAAACAACACTTCCATATTGCTGTGGAGCATCTCAGCCCCTAGACACAACCCATAACCTTTTGGTCAGCACCGATCAGCTCCTCTGTGAATGTACTGGGCAGAAAGGATGTCACATTTTTGTTCATGGCAAAGTGAAGATAAGAGTTCATGTTTAGATGAAGAGATACCCTCTTTATTCATACAACTTATTGTTGTCTGTGGTTCTAAAAAGGACCATTGGGCCATGTTGCTCATCAGCAACTCTACAGTGCAGTGCTTTGGGAAGTGGCCTGGCTGGCTGCACACCATTGTCCAGCCTTGCCAGTGAAAATCATTAATGAAACAAAGCGAGATGATGATGATGATGATGATGATGTGTGAAAATCATTAATGAAACAAAGCGAGAAAATGATGATGATGAAGAAGAAGAAAGGTGAGAAAAGTGCCCCTAGTTACATAAACAAAAGAGATAATGAGAAAAGCGCCCCTAGTTACATAAACAAAAGAGATAATCATTAGCAACTTGTACTGCCAACAAAAAGCTACAGTCTCAGCCAAAATGGATAATTTTTTTCCAACCACTAGGTAATGCTTTTAATTTGACTGCAACTGGCTTACCTAGTATGTAAACTAAATTTTATCCCAACTTTTCTGAGAGGGTTTGCCACATTTCTATGCGCCTTTGTTCCCAGCCACGAAGGAACCATGTGTTTCAGCACTGGGGAATACTGAGGGGCTGGTGGCTCTTTGGCTAATAATATTGGGAGGGTGTTCTAATTCACATTCTCAGAGGTAAAATCTGCAATCTACTATCTCTGAGCTGAATCTACACACACACGCACACGCATACGCACACGCACACATTTTAGAACTTGCTTTAAACTGATCTAGCTATGAGTTTTGGAACTTTTATGCCTCTTCTATACCACCCCCAGCTGTGTGATGCCCGGCCTCAGGAAGACATTTGCAGGAGTTAAAAGCTAGCTTCTGTATGTGATATTTTAGTGTTCTAGTAAAGATATTACCAATGTTTGTTGTTAGTCTCAGTTGTATCTCAGAGGACCAAGGACACGGAGATAGGAAGAGGAATACAACTAAGATGCAAGTGCCTGCTCCTGCCTTTTCATTTGCACTCTGACAAAATCTTTAGAGAAATATTTGCTGAATCAAAAGACAATATCATGGTCCATGGAGTAGTTTTCCATAATATCTGATACACAGATGACACATGGTCTGCAAAGATTGCTCAGTACAGGCAGGGACGTAAGAAATGAACAAAGCCTGAAAAATAGTGTTCAAATTGATTTCATGATAGTCAGCAGAAAGCAAGCAGCTGAAGAAATGCAGTTAAAGATTCAAAATGTGAAGTGTGGAGACTGTTGGCAAATATAAGTGCCCAGGAATTTGGTTCAGTGAACAGTGAATAGCCAGACAATAAAAGTCAGAAGAGAGATGGCCTGGAGCAGCCTCCTAAAGAGGAGGAGTATGATGGTTAACAAAAACTTAAAATTGACTGTGAGAATGCATGTTGTACAGTGCTGTGTATTTTTGGTTCTTTTGTATGGAGTGAAATCAAAAGACTGGCTACAATAAAAAAAGTTGGAAGCATTTGAGATGTGGATTCATCACAGGGTGCTAAGAATTTCCTGGATTGAGAGGGTGATCAGTGAAGAAGTACTATGGTGCATTGATAAAAACTGAGATTTCATAAAATGTCGAAAGCTAGAATTCTTTGGTCACACAACAAGGAGCAAAAGTACATATTGTTACAGTTGATAATTCAACGGAAATAAATTGTAAAAGAAGTTTAGGAAGGAGATGAACTGAATCACTGGAAAATCTTAAAGACTGGTTTGGATGCAAGACATTGTTATCTGGAGCACGGATGGACTAAGTGTAACCTGTGGGCTGTATGTGGTTGACGGGGCCTAGATGCATCCCCTTCAGTAGCCTTGCCGTGCTGTACTGTGGTTTGGTCCTCTTCAGCCTTTTTTTTAAAAAATATTGTCATTAAAGTGTGAGGAAATGGTTTCAGTTTTAAACAAAAAATATTTAGTGAGAAGAGAGCAGTTGCAGGTCTCAAGGTACAAAAACGGCTGAGCGTGAGCACTAGATGTCTGGAATATATCTGTGAAGATTCTCAGACCTCCAGGTGAGGCTATCTGGAAGCTGAGTAATGACAACTGGATTTCTTTCTTATTGGGTTAAAATGTCTTGCTGCTCATTCAAGTAGCTTCTTCAGTCTGAGCTGGTAGGAAATCCTTGATATCCAAAGGACGGGGGTGTGTGTGTGTGAGTGAAAAAGCAGGGGTGGGATTTTCACTCCCCCCCCATCCTTTGTCCATCTAAGAAGCCTATTCAGACCAGGGGAAAGTGAAACCAACATGGAGGATATATCAAGGGTCTCAGACTGAAGAAACTACTCGAATGAATAGCAAAACATTTCAAACTAATAAAGAAGTCCAGTTGCCATGACTCAACTTCCAGATAGATGTCTGGAAGTTACCCGCACTTGGTTAATAATTACCATGGCCAAAGTCAGTATAGTTGTGATGATATACTCTGCTATTCTGTCTGGTAGCAGAGGAGCTAGAAGAAGAAAAATAGTTGTGTAAATTACACGCGACCAGTGGTTCCCAAACTGTGCACTGTGGTGCCCTGGAACACCAGCAAGTACACCCAGGGGTGCCGTAGAATCCTCTCATCCTTTGCTGCTGCCTCCTTGGCTGTTGGGTCTCCCTGTGTGCCGGCCAGAATAATTCCTAATGCCCTGCCTGTGTCCAGGCACAGACCCTGGGGCAAGCCACACCCCTGTACCTGGACACCCATCTGCGCAGGAGAAGAGATGGTGGTGATGGTAGTGGTGGTCACCTTGGTGCCCTTGGCATGCCAGGGAGGCTCCAGGACAGGTCAAGAGAGCCATGAGTTGGAAAGGTTTGGGCACCACACTGACTTAAGGCATTTCTCCTTTACATGGCAACTTACAGTATCTGTAACATAAAGTTTTGCCCTCTTGGACACAACCTCAAATCTACTCTGAAATAGCCATGATTTTTATTTTATTTATTTATTACTTCCATAGGTATTCAGCTAACTGAATCCCTAGCAATGTTGCCTGCTTCAGCGGTATCTGGCCTCTACTTTTCCAATCCTAGATCCCAATATTTTGCTGTTGGAAAAATACAGAAGGATCAGGTAAGACCTGTCAAGCACCACAGAGAATTGTATAAAATATACAGAACTTGAAAAAGCAAGTGTTTGTGGTATCAGTTTGGTGAAGGTGAATTTTTTTTTTTGCCACAGGTGGCAGGACTGTGTAAAAAGAGAAAATGTTTTGAAAAAAGTGATCAGATCTGTCAGTGAGATATTGGTGACACACCATTCTTTAGATTCTGTGGTCTCTTATTTAAAGAAGTCTGTTCCAGAGAATTTTCGAGATCTAGTTCTGTGTGCACAAACTCTGTTTGCTTCATATTGAAAACGGAGAGATTTGAAAGGGTAAAGAGGTTGAACATTTTCTGAGAACAAGTGAAAATCATTAAAATGAGAATATAATGTGTAGTTTGAAACTGAGCTGATAGAAATATGTAGACCAGTTGTTGAAATAGTAATATTTTGTATTTTGATCTTAAAATGTCCAATTTAGGACTGGAGCTTATTGGATCCCAATTTAAGTGTTTTATTTTTGATGCAGTTGTCAGTATGGCTTCCGTCATTTGTATCTAAGAAAAAAAAAGTTTTAATACATGTCTCTGATTCTAAAATACTTGTTCTCATGCAGAATAGTTGGTAATAGTTGTTTTAGGTCACACTGAAGTGAAGCTTTACCCATTAAATTGTTAAATTGGTAATTCTCTTGTTTATTCTGCAGGTTGAAGATTATGCCTTAAGGAAAAATATGTCTGTGGCAGAAGTTGAGAAATGGATAGGACCTATTCTTGGGTATGATCCAGAATAACAGTGTGAGGGAATACATTGTTTTTGTTTGTTTTTGTTTTGTTTTTTAGTGATGGTTAGTGTTATCCACTAACAGAGAGGGAGGGAGGGAGTGTTTTTGGTAGTGCCCTGTCCACCATCGACATAGTCCAGAAGATCTCCTAGTTATTTGTACTACATCTGGGATACATACGAAGGGCAGGGGGAAGCACTGAGAGCGGCTCCATACCCTATTTTTCTGATGGATGCCTTATGTCAGTAGACAGATTCCAGTTAGATCCCGACTTAAGTCTTGAGGGGCAGGAATTTGAGAAGAGATTAAACTCAGGGCTAATGCACCAAAAAAAAAAGATACCATGTGGAGACCATTTAAAAGGACCACCTATGACAGTCATTTCCATAGTCCAGAGCAAGCAAGTTATGTGTAATGTCTTCAAACTTTGATTGGACAAGTGATGATTAAAATGAACAAACATTTCATTTCCATTTTGAGCAAATGGTCTTCATGATTGGATTTTAGACTCTTGACTTCATGAGATGAGTATATACAAAACATCACTCCCCGCCCCTCATTTGCTAAGTTGTGTATTTTAACAGATGTGTTTCACATTTAAATATGTTCTCAGTTGAGCTCTGATTAAATGCTAAACAGAGCCCATAACCCATGATTATCTCATTGTGAGAATAGTGTTACGGGGTTGAGTGTATGTTTCTAATTTTGTTGTAGCCATAAGGTAATGCAGATATTTGCACTGATTCTATGAGAGTGGGTGGATGCTTAACAGATATTTAACTGTATTGTGTATACATTGATAACAAATATTCTCCGAATCAGAGGAGCATAACAACATGGAGCCTAAATAAGTGCCCTAATTCTAATTTTCCTTTGCTCTGTTTATATTCAGCCTTGATTTTCCTAAGCAAATTTTCTGACTCCTCATCCAGCTTAGTTATTTGCACTTGCAGATTCAGGGAAACCATGATGTTCATGGAACTTTTGGTAACCTCTATTTGTAATGATAATTATACTTAACAAATGGCCAAACCTTCTGTTTTCTTACTACTGAAACATACTTTATTGGTGTCTATGTTTTGCGTCATATACAAATACCTGCCTGGTCTGAATAGCTCCTTAGAAGATGGTTTGGGTCACCTATCTTCTGATTTTTACATTTGTATGTGTAGGTTCACACTACCTTTTCTTACTACATAATGAGACCACCCTCTTAAAAGCCCTACCAAGTTTTTCTTTGCTATGCATTTGGGGTTTTTTTTTTGGAGGCCTGTCATTATTTGGGGTTTTTCTACAGTGTCAATGTCCAGATAGATCTTTTCAATTGGTAGGATTAAGTTAGAAGTGCTTCAACTCCCACAATGGGATTTTTCCCTTGTCTGTGGTATGATAATAGCGCTCTTTGGTACTCAGCAGTTTAGCATTCATGAAAGGTTTTGATAGATTTCTGCCTGGAGTTTAATTAAATTGAAGGTGAATAGATGTATATTTCGCAAGAAACAATGCAACATCTAGTGTTTTTAAGCTGGATCCATAAATTAGGGCAGATTCCAGAAAACAAGGTTGAAAATTGAACTACTTTTGCCATTCTTATAAGGTATGTCCATCTCAAGAGAAGTCCCTAGAAACGTTTCCTGATAAATAGAGATCTGGCTTTTTCCTTGTGGTCTTGTTTGAACAGTTATAGTCAATAATGCTTGATGAAAAGTTGCTTGAGGGCCCTGGTGGCATTACTTGAACAATATGGTACTTGAGTAATGTAGGAAGCCTTGGATCATAGGGAACAAGTCTGTGGTGTGATTTCCTCCTTCCCTCCCTTTCTACCTGGGACGTCCAGTCATTGAAAGGAGGAGAGAGGTATCTGCACTTTAAGTGCTTGAATCTGGGGCTTGCCTACTACTCAAATTGTTCAGGTAAAACTGAAAGGGACCGAGAGGAGTAGATCAGATGAATCCTTTGCCACGTCTGTCTGATTCAAGGGGTGTATTTCATAACTGACTTCCAGAAAAGAGCCATGAAGAGGGAGGAAGAGACATATCCTTCACAGGGAGGGCTTCTTTTGCTTAGGAGAAAAGAGAAATGAGAGACCAAGCGTCAGCAGGGCTCTGTAATCTGCATACGGAAGCAGTTGGAGAACAGAATCAGTTGCTTGCTTCTTAGAAGTGTATTTTTTTTGTTGTTGTTCCTGAGTAGCCAGTCAAGCTGTGCACTAGGCCCCTGTGCTCCCCTAAGATGCTTTTGCCTTGCAGTGCAACCTGCAGGCATCTGGTATCAGTAAAAACAAATATTTTTATTATTTAAAAGTTGAACAAATGAAATGCTTAGGGCATTAGAGCTCCACAAGAAAATAGTGAAACGGTTATTCTAATGTACATAGTTTGCAAATGAATTCGTAATCGGATTATGGTTTATATAATTGTACATTCTTCTAGTTTGCAGAATGACTTGTATTGTAAATGCATATTAAGACTGAATTTCAAAAGCTTATATTTGTCAATAAAAATTTTGTCAATGAAAACTAAGCTCACCTGTTTTCATTTCTGTTGCATTGATTGAGTGGAAGTAGAGTCATAATCCTCAGGCTAAAGCTAATATCAAAATAATTATTTGAAAAATAACTCTGTCTTTGGTCTCTTCCCAGCTTTATTTAAAGCACTTAGAGGCCAGCCTTCAGGACATAGCAGTTGTAGGTGGCATGCAACAGTGAGACTGAAATATAATTAAGATGCACTTGAAGTAGCAAACCAAATAAATACTGCATTATAAGAAGGTATAGAACAGGCCTTGAAACACATTAGAAGTCCTATGTCATAAGAACCTCAGCGATGCAGGAAAGGGAGATTACAACTATGGGGACATTGCCAAGAAGGCTATCTGTCACTGCCAAATGTTTTCAGCTTCCTTATCCTACTGGAATGCCTCACACTCAACTACGTGCCATTCCAGCAGGTCCCTCAGCCTCCATATGTGGCTTTTGTGCATGCTGAAGCTCCTGTCTGTTGAATGAAGTCATCTCTGGATATATGGCAAGATTTACCTCCCCACTCATCTGCAAGGGATCAGTTTTTCATCTGTTGCAAGACATGTTTCTTACGATCCCTTTTCTAATGTACAAGATATGAACTTGGCAGCCAATAGCTGCCATTAGGAGTTTGAAACCACTCTGCCAGTGGAATGGCTTTGTTTCCTGCTTTTTCAAGAGATGCTGTCATCTCTGACATTGCAGTTTGCCTCACTCCTCCTGTAGAGTATTATGCACTGAGTCTGTATACAGCAGCCAAGACCACCTTTGGCAAAGTGCTTCTTCACTATCTGTCATCCTATCCTTTTCCAGGACACATCAACTAACCCACGTCACATATATAAGCATTATAAACAAGATAAGCTTGCCTGCAATGGGTGTTTTTAAAAGTTATTGTACATCATAATAAAGAAGTCATGATAATTGAGAAACATCTAATCAAAACATGCCTTGTATTTGTTCAGTTATTTTGAATGACCCTCTACCCTATTCCTCTATTTTTGCAACAGGGTAGTGAATTAAGTCCAACTGGAAGAATTGTTGTTGATCAGATGGATTGTTCTGTGAGTTGCCTCTATTGCTGTATGCAAAGAAGGGGAACATCTCTCTCTCTCTCTCTCTCTCTCTCTCTCTCTCTCTCTCACACACACACACACACACACACACACACACACACACACACACACTCTCTCTCTATCTCTCTATCT